CTTAGAGAAGCCAGGGAAAGCAGGTCAGAGACTGGAAAATGTAATCCTCCTTTTGTTTTCTTTTTTTCCCCTCAAGGTCCAGGGCGGTTAGCACAATTACAGAAATCAAAGGGCTGAGGAGTCTGTTTAGAAATTGGCCTGGACAGGGCAGCTCTCAGGTAAGGCTCGTTCTCTGCACCTCAGTTATGACAAGGCCGATGGACGGGTAGGTCAGAAAAACACCATTGATGCGTTTTGTCTGGATTTCAAGCAAGGTGTTTTTAATAACCATACAAGCAAGTAGTAAAGTACAGAGGATTGAAGTCAAGTTAGGGTTAGGAGCAAGGTCACACTCAAGAGTGCCAGGAAACTGGTAAATCTCAGACACAATGCTTCTAGAACTTTGTTAACGATACTGTCAGAAATCTAACTGATTCCATTTCCCTCCATTTTTCCTTTTATTTCTGAAGATGAAACGCTTATAAATACATAGGTAATATTTGTAAAGGGGATTATGTAGAGAAAATAAAGTCAAAATACCTCAATAGACTTCTAACAAGATTACTTCTTTTGTTCTGTTTTTGGGCAACACCCGACAATGCTCAGGTGTTTCTCCTGGCTCTGAGCTCAAGACTCCCTCCTGATAGTGCTGAAACCTTATGGGATGCCGGGGAACAAATCCAGATCAGCACCAAGCAAGGCAAGTGCCCTACCTGCTGTCCTATCTCTCCAGCCCCTAGCAAGATAGCTTTGATGGAGGGAAAATTCATCTAAAAATAATAGTGAGGGCCGGAGAGATTGTTGGAGACTGGGCACAGGCTTTGCATGCGGGAGGTCCAGGTTGGGTTCCTGGCCCAGTATATGGTCCCCCAGTGCTGCCACAAGGCACCCCTGAGCACTGCTAGACATTGCTCCAAACAAAAAAAAACAACCGACCAACAAGTACCCCCTGCCCACTTCCCCAAACCCTGTAATATTTAAAGGAGCCTCCGTTTTTCAAAACTAACTTTCCAGTTGTGTGTATTTATCTTCCTCTGCCCCGCCCCCCCCTTTGCCCTGGCACCCAGGCTCAAACTGCGGTGCTCGAATTCACCTGCAGCCGAGATCACACTCGCTGGTGCGGGGACCCCGGACTGCAGAGTTTAAAAGACTGAGCTCAGCACACATGGGCGGTTCCGGGGATCAAACTCAAGGCCTCATGCAAGGTGGAGGCAGTCTCGGCGCTGAGTCATCCCCCAGGCCCCCAAGACACGTTTCCATCACATTTCAAAAGGCAGAACTGAACAATGTAATCATTTCGGAAAAGGCTTAGAGGATATAAAAGGAGCCCCAACCCGGAGAGTGACCACCCCCGTCAGGAGAGGGAGCGGGCAGGAAGAATGTAATCAGGGATGGGACATGTCCGCATACCAAGGCAGAACATGGGTCATTTCTCAGCCTGGGCATGAGGCCACAGTGCTTACCGTCACTCTTGAAAAGGAGCATCTTTCCGTGAAGTCTTGTTTGTCACACACAGAAAAATAATTTTAGAACCAGAGAGACAGCACAGTGAGGGAAAGCGCGGGCTGCCAGACACACAGCCCACATGTTTGAGCCCTGGCACCACATGGGGTCCCCCAAGCCCTGACAGGAGTGACCTCTGAGTACAGATAGAGCCAGGAGTAAGGACTGAACCACCAAGTGTGGCCCCTTAAACAAATATAGATACAAATGAAACTTGGGGCTGGAGTGATAGCACAGCGGGTAGGGCGTTTGCCTTGCATGAGGCCAACCGGGGTTCGATTCCCAGCATCCCATATGGTTCCCAAGCACCGCCAGGAGTGTGCTGTGCATCACCGAGTGTGACCCAGAAAGAAAAAAAAAATCTCAACTCCCACCCCACAATTGGCCGTGCCCTAATCAGTCTGAAGTGTGAAAGAGTAGGGATTGTTTGGCTTTGGGAGAGGGCTGGGGTGGAGGGACACTGGCCAGGAACCAAGCTCAGACCAGGGGGGACTGTCCTTTCCCTGGGGGGGGGACACTGGACCAGGAGGTGCCCCCTGACTACAGGGCCAGCCCTGGGGGTGACTGACCACAGTCTTCTCCAGGAATAGGAAACCAGCTGGGTCTGTGAACCCCGGGGGAGGACGATGGCCACCGAGGACTGAGGTGGACTCAGCCCCTTCCTAGTGGCCAAGTGACTTGAGAAAGTATTTCTGGCTCTGACACAACCCCGCCAAGAGGGGAGTTTTATCTCCGGGTGCTGAGAAGGGGTGCCCTGGAGTCTGTTGAACCCCAGGTCTCTGCCTACCTCCCGGGGTTCCAGTCTGGGGAACCTGATCGTTTGGCAGGAGGGCCTGTGTGCTGGGCCCGTGAACAGACCCAGAACCCTGGTGGCAGTTTAGAACAGGCCAGTGAGGGGCTGCAGCGATAGTTCAGTGGGGAGGGCTTCTGCCTTGTTCGCGGTCAACCCGGGTTCGATCCCCCACATTCCATAGGGTCCCCCGAGCACTGCCTGGACTGAGCCCTGAGTGCAGAGCCAGGAGGAAGCCTGGTGCACTGCTGGGTGGGGCCCAACCGCCCATCGCCGCACCCCCCCCCCCCCCCGACAGAACTGGCTGTTGCCTTGCACACCCCAGGCCGATTTCCGGAGATTTTGAATGTGAAGAGTGAGTAAACCTGCACCTTCCACGCGGGAGACCCTGGGCCCAGAGGCCTCAGAACTCACCAACTCACTCAGGACCTTGAGAACACGGCTGGGCCGCACAGAAGCTGATCAGCTGTTCTCTCCTGCCCCCTGCTGGCCCCACCTGGCTTCGCGGCTCCAGGACAGAATAGGGCAGGGTGGCTTGTCAAGGGGGTACAGGGGGCACCCCAGCCTGGCCTATGGGACAGGGGAAAGGGCCGGTGGACTGCCAGCAGTTCCCACCACACAGTCAGGCTCCAGGAGGCCTTGGAACTCTAACCCGAGCCTGCAGGCCCAGCCCAGGCAGAGCTCAGGGGGCCCCAGGATGCATCCTGCACGTGCTCTCTGCCCGGATGCGACTGCCTGGCCCTGAACTCAGGCCATCCCCACACGAGGGCACAGAGGATCCGGGCTCGGCCCACACAGACCCAGGGCTTGACGTGCTGATGGAGGAACACGGGCTTCCAGGCTGGGATGGGCTTGGCCTGGCACCCTTTCCCTTGAAGATGCGGTTTCGAGCAGAAGTGGTGAGGTACCGCACCCACATTCCCATGTCCTCCTGCTCCCCTCCATCAACAGGCCCCCCGTGAAGTGGCCGGTTTGGTTCCAGGGGCTGAACCCCACTGCCACGTCATGACTGACAGCATCCCTGGGGGTGACAGGGGGGCATGTCCACTCCATGGGCCTGGACGCCTGTCAGAGTCGCTTTACTGTCCTTAGGCTCAGCGGGGAGCACATGTGGTGTGTGGGCCCGGGTCCAGCTGTCCGTGCCTTTCGCCCTGCCGCCCGTTTAGATCTTTTTCGGTCACAGTGGGCAGTGCTCTGGAGAGCACGGGGCGCCGGGGAAGACCCGGGCCTCCCCCGGCAAAGCCTGCCTCAGCCCGTGGCACTCTGAGGCTCTGCCACGCTTTGAGCCTCACCTGCCACAGCAGGTGAAGGCCCAGGGCATCACTGAGAGGTGAGAGCTTTCCTGGTGTACTTCTGGGGCCTCCAGGAAAAATCAGGGCTGGGGCAGCGACTGATCTATCTTACTCTCAAAACCAGCTCGGTGGGGTGGAGGCTTAAAATCACACGGTGACGCCTTTTCAAAGAAAAAATGTCTTTATTTATATTTTTTTTCAATCACAGAACACTAGGCTCGACATCATTGCACACCCATCCACACAACCACACCCCCACACACCAATCCACAAGGACATACCCACACTCTCTCCCGGACTCATCTCCCACACCTGTCTCCAAAGGTGACCCATGAGCCATGCCTCAAGGAATGTTCCAGTTCAAGGCCACAGACCAACCCGGGTTGTTAAGGGGAAATCCTCAATTCTTGGCCAGACCCACAGTCCAAAATGCTGCTCCTGGGATGATGAGGGAGAGAGGGGAAGGGCAGCAGCTGACCACGGAGCAGGCTCCGCGCCCGACAGACACACATGGGGACAGGCTCTGCACCAGGACACGTGTGGGGACAGGCTCTACACCCCCAGACACGCAGGACAGGCTCTGCATCCCCAGATATACGTGGGGACAGGCTCTGCACCCCCACAGACACACACGCGGGCACAGCTCAGACCATGTGGGGAAAGGCTCTGCACGCTCCCAGACACGCACAGGGACAGGCACTGCACCCAGACACGCATGGGGACAGGCACTGCACCCAGACACGCGTGACGACAGGCTCTGCGCCCCCAGACGCCCTGCTCTCCCCCTCTGCTGTTCTGGTGGTCTCCTCCAACAGGGGCTGCCACACGGACCCTTGACTCAGGAGCAGGACAGTGACGCCGGAGGCAGCAGAGGTCCTGTAGGCATTAGCCACTGAGCCCACAGTGCCAGGCTCATAACTCAATCCTCTCTTGGCCCATGAACAAGTGCCCTAGTTGGCTCTGGGGGCACCACTGCCCTCTATGACGGTGCCGGGGAAGTGGCCTTGGCAAAGGAAGCGGGAGCTGCCACCTTCAGGCATTACCGCAGCTCTGTGGCCTGTGACCGGCTTCCCTCGGCACAGAGAACGAACTCCAGGCCCGGGTGCTGGCGGGGCTGGGTGCAGATATGCAGCTACAGAACCTTCTGGAAACTCCAGCCTCCTCCAGGCCTGGGTTCGGGGCTCTGTGTTTTCTGAAAGCAGGAGACGGGCAAGAGAGGTACATTCACCAGCTGTTTACCAAGATGTTCCTCCTCCTGGAAGGGCAGGTGCTTGTAATCGGCAGCCAGGCGAGGTCCGAGAGCCCCAGGTCCCTCTCACTGTCCAGAGAAAACAGCCAGGCTGGGCAGAAGCAGTCCCACTGCCCAGAGCCAGAGGCTGTCCTCAAGTCCGACTATATTTTACACATATAGAGATACATAGTTATATCTGATTCTTTTTTGTCAGCAAAAAAAAAGGGGGGGGGGGGGAAGGAGTTCTTTTCCCAAATGCAAAATCGGTAACATTTGTAGGAAGATGGTAGAGTTTTGGTTGGCTTTATAATTCCCAACCTAGATGAAATCAACACATCTGCAGCCATCCCTAAACTCGTGTCTTTAAAAGGTCCTGGTCTCCGTTCACATGAATTCATCTGAGTCATTGCCGTCCTGGGGGGAAACAGAAAAAGCAAAACCATCAAGGTCTTTCAAGTGAGCAACCGACCTAGAAAATGACTCTTGTGCTTGGGAAGGTGTCTCCGCGGGCCTCGTCACTCGTAAATGATAATGTGTACGTGATGACAAGAGTCCCAAGCAGGAATGACCAACGCACAGACACCAGGTCTGGGGACGTCAGATCCTTCGGTGTAACTGGGAAATGGGGGGGAGGGGAGGTTTGTCCTGTTTGTTCAGTTCTGGGACCGTAGCCGTCGGTGCTCGGGGCTCAGTCTTGGCGGGGCTTGGGGAACCAGGCTGATAGTGTGCAAGGCAAAGGCCCTCTACCCGCTGTCCTTCAACTGTGGCCCTGAGAGACGACTCATTACTGTTCTAGGCTTCCTGAGTGAACAGAAGATGGAGTGAAACCCGCTGGCGGGGATGCAGACCCCCTCAGAACTACCATCACATCATTAGGCCTCACCAGCAAGTGAGGGCTTAAAGTCTCTAAGAGCAAAAAGATTCTCTTTAATCACATAACGCCACCATGAGATCAATTATGAAGATACACCTCTGGTTCACAAAGGACATTCCTAAGTTTAGCTCTTCAGAGAAAGGACTAGGGCATTGGCGTCTGCTCTCAGAAAGGCCGGGATAAGCAAGACACCAAATCCTCGAAGCCTGCTCCCGTGCCAAGTGTGAGGACACCCTCACCCTGGGCTCACCCTGTGCTTTGTTCGGCCGCCCCTCAGCGCTCAGGGGTGACTCGCATACCTGATTGGAAGACATGTTCTCTGCCTTCATAAGTGACGAGTAGCTCCTAGGAGAAAAGCACATTCAGAGGGTACTCAACCGGCAGGGGTGGGCACAGCAGGGGAGGGGAGACTGGGTCTGAGGGAACCCGAGAGGGCAAAGGTCCCAGACCACCTGCCGGGGGCTCCAGGGCTGGGAGGAGCAGCAGGAGCCCACAGGACTCGTGCGAGCTCGCCAGAGGAAAGTACTCGTGGCCAGGTCCCCCTGAGGCTGCCCTTCCAGGACAGAGCGACAGCAACGGAGCCTGCCCCGTGGACAGGATGGGTGAAGGGGCAGGTCACCGCAGAGGATGTAGAACAAAGGCCAAGGGGGGACTCCCATAGGCTGCGGAGAGGTGAGTGTCCCGGGAGGAAGTGGGGCCCAGGGACACTGATCTGAGGAGCGTGGACACCAGGGACGGGTAGAAGCTTCAGGAGCAGAGAGGAGGACCAGGCCAGACCAGACAGTGACCAAGCAGCACTATGGACAGAACTCTGTGCTAAAGCTGGCGGGGAACGGGACGAGGGGAAAATGGCAAAGTGTCCCCCCACCCCCACTCGCCAGGCCAGGAATGTGACTCACAGGCCGAACACAGGCCCAGTGTGCATAAAGTCCTGGGTTGGACCCCCAGAACCGCTGGCTGTGCCCCTCGAAACACAAAGAGGCCAGAGAGACGCAGCAAGGGGAGGGTTGGGACTCGCACGTGGCCGACCCCGGCACAAGGTACCCACAAACCATCAGGAGTGAGCCCTGGGCACGGCAGGGTGTGCCCCAAACCACCCATCACCAGGGGAAAAAAGGACCAGCCCCTCCAAGCATGCAGGAGGCTCAGATGCGGCTCCAAGCACCACCCCGCAAACCTGAGCACAGGGCACAAAACCAAAGCTTTAAAGACCAAACAAACGAAACTGCATTTGCACTGCTTCCTCACTGAAAGCAGCTCAGGGGCAGCTTGTGTGCCTGGATGGTCCAGGACCTGGGCTCTGGCCTGACTCCTGGCTCTGTGCATGGGGATCACCCCTGGGGGGGGCTCAGGAGACCACAAGAGGCGCAGGGGATCAAACCCAGGTCAGCTGCAAGGTATGCCCCCTCCTCACGTACTGTGATCTCTCTGGCCCCAATTACCTTCAAGTTTCTAAAGCATTTAAAGAACCGCTTTCTGGGGCTGGAGCAATAGCACAGAGGGCAGGGCGTTTGCCTTGGGTTTGATTCCCAGCATCCCATATGGTCCCCGGAGCACGGCCAAGGGTAATTCCTGAGTGCAGAGCCAGAAGTAACCCGTGAGCATTGCCAGGTATGACCCAAAAAGCAAAATAAATAAATAATAAATAAATAAAGAGTTGCTTCTGGCAGCGCTTAACACTGGCCTTTATAGCTAAGCCACTGAAGAATCTATGGCCGAGCGGGTGAGAGTTCAACCCTGAGCTGTCTTTTCTCTTCCTGAAGGTGCCAAGAGACCAAACTCCACAGACACCCCCTTGGTGCATCTGCAGCCCAGAGGGGCAGACGCCTCTCTCTGCAGTGCTCACCCGGGCAAGCACGCAGGGACAGCCCCACACCCACCTCAGCTCGTCCATCTCCCGCTTCTTCTTCATCTCCTCCTTCTCCTTCCGCTTCATCTCCTGGGCCTGGGCTTTCTTCTCGCTCCGCTCCTCCCGGTCCCGGCACTCCTTCTCGGCCGCCAGGTCGGGGAAGCGCTCGGCTCTGGTCTTCTCCAGCCGGTTCAGGATCTCATTCATCTTCTTCTCCACGGTGACCAGCTTCACCTTCGGGGGAGCCGGGGTGGGCGTGAACCTGGAGGCTACGGTCGGCCCCAGGACAGACAGTGGGGGAAGCCCCCCGTGGGGGCCGTACTCACGTCCTTCTGCCTGTGGAAGCCAATCTGGCCCACATCCATGTCTGATGTCTTCTTCAGGTTGGACCAGGGCGTGTAGACCACCCCAACGTTGTTCATCTTGCAGCCTGCAGAGCGAGAGGCCACCTTCACCACACGGCCCGTGACGCCGAACCCGAGGCCCACACCCCGGGGAAAGGCCCCATAATCCAAGGAGCAGGTGCAGAAGGCAGCGGTCATGAAGGGCCCGGCCACCTGGCCACGCAGGCCCCAGGTAGGGCCGGGAGCAGAGGGGCCACAGAGGAGAGCGTGAGTCACACACCAGCCTCGGGAGGCGCCATCGTGGCGGGAAAGAGAACAGGGCTCCTTAGGTCCTCAAGTGGCCCACGGGCAGTGTGAAGCTGAAGGACTGGGCCAGGGCCAGAGGCTGCTCCGCATGCACGGAGGGGCAGGAGCCTCAGGAAATCGGGATGACGGGCGCGTCCAGGCCTTTCTGGCTTCTCTTCCTTTTAGGCACAGAGCCTCTTAGCGACCACAGGAAATTCACCTTCAGCAGAGCAACTGTCCAGGTAGAGGGTCTGAGCCAATAGGGCCAGCAGGGGACTGGTCATGCTGTCTCCTCTCCTCTCCACGCACGCGGCCCCCTGCCACCCACGCACCCCTAAGGCCCCAGACTGGCCCCTGTAGTGTGTGAGACCAGGCCCACAGTCAACGGTCCTCAGATCACTGTGTCTTGGGAGAGGCCATGAGGACCAATGACCCTGGTGAGCCCTGCGAGCCACCACGACCCCAGCGATATGGCACTGTGTAACCTCCTCAGCATAACCCAGCCAGGGTACGGCCGATCTGACCCCTCACAAGGAGGCAGCAAACCCGTATGATTACGAGATAACCCCGAAAGCGCCAACGTGGGGAGACCAGAGACTCAAGACAGGGCGAGTGGGACACACAGCCCGGGGCCTGGCGGCTGTGGGGGACAGGTGCAGAGGGGCAGCTGGCCAGCATCCCTGTGGGCCACGGAAGGCTCCCAAAACTGGTCACTGCTGCGCAGCTACTTCAGAAACACCCATGCCGGCCGCAAATGTGAGGTCACAGGCTGTGTGCATGCAGCTGACCCGGGTTCAATCCCGGCACCCCGAGGGTCCCCCGAGCACCACCAGGAGTAATTCCTGAGTGCGGTGCCAGGAGGAAGCCCCGGGCACTGTCAGTTGTGGTACACAAAAACAAAAGTTCTCAAATCTCAAAAATCTCAAAATCTTAAAATGAAAGGCGGGCGCCACCTTGTGTTTGTCTATGGGCAGCAGCCGGGCGCCAAGGGCTGTGGGCAGGCAGGGCTGGGGCCACCCGGGCAGGTCCAGCCTCCACCGCAGGCCAACAAGGGACATACACATGGACATGCACCCGCGAGGAGATCTGCAGGAGGGGGAACAGGGAAAGGGCATGACGAACGTGCCCAGCCAGAGGCAGTAACCTGGTACTGACCCAAAACGCGACCACTCCAGACAGAGGAGGGTGCTGGGAAACTGACCTTGGATGCTATTGGCCTTCACGAGCTGAGCACAGTCCATCAGCACTTCCTTCGGGATGTCCTCGATCTTCTCCCCCTGCAACACAGAAACCAGCTAGATCCACGGCGGGCACTTCCTACGCGCGAACCACCCAGAGCTCAGCCCTGCCAGTCGGTGCACTGCGGGACAAGGAAAGCCAGGCCTGGGAGTGTATACGGCAATGAGAGGCACAGGCGGGCGGTGCTGCTGCTGAGCGTGACAGAGACCACACACGCAGGGCACGAGAGCACAGCCACAGCTGTCATTCCTCACCACACAGAACTTGGGGAGAATTGGTGCCTGTGGGTGGGGACCCTTTGAAGCCGCTGAGGGACCGGCAAGATGAGCACCTCTGACCTGCCCCGCGTAATCTCTACAGTGCAGGGGACAGAATGCAGGGCCGCCATCCAAACCATGGCCACACCCAGCCTGTGCGTGTGCGCGTGTGCAAGAGAGAGAGAGACAGAGACAGAGATAGAGAATGAACTCAGGGCCTTCCACACCATAGCCATACCCCAGCCCGTGTGTGCGTGTGTGTATATGTATGTGTGTGTGTGTGCGTGCACGCACGGACGCACAGAGACTCAGATTAAACCCTGACATTGTATGTGGGAAGCATATGCTCTACCACTGAGCACCATGCGAGATTTGGCATCCGTGATGACGAAGCTGAGGCGTCGGCACCCTCACACCTCACAGTTTAGCAACCCTCACACCTCACATCTTAGCAGCCGCTTCTGAGTCAGGAAGAAAGCTGGGGTGCCTCAGGTCCCAGCATTCGCTGGCAAGAAATACTAGCAGTGCCTTTCCCATCCAGATACCTTAAGGGATGCCAACCATCCCTAAGTGGTAAGTGTGTTTCCTGAGACCACCCAGTGCTGGTTTTATTTTTCTTCAGGAGGAAAGCCAGCCTCTAGTCAAGTGATGGTATCCCGGGTCACCTCTGTCTCTCCCCTATTCCACAACACGGGACCAAAGGAGAACCCCATCTCCACCGCACACTCTGGAAGAAAGCGTCCTCACCCAGATGCTAAGACCATCCATGCACCTGCAGGGACACTCCTGAGCACTGACACCCCAACCCTGTACTGGTTTGGGGGACCATGGCTGAGCAAGTGGGAAGCGCAGGTTCCATGTAGCACCACAGGGCTGAGCAATCCTAGAGCCCCCGCAGGTGACGTCCCTGAACAAACAAAGTGTGATCCAGAGGCTGCTTTTCTCTTGTTTGTGATCCACACCAGCAGTCTTGGGGTTCATTCCTAGAGGAGCTTTTGGGACTCCACATAGTGCCAGGGACCAAACCCAGGCCCGCCGTGGGCAGGGCAAGTGCCCACCTTCCCCAAGTAGGAGTGAGATGCCCACAGAGCAGGTCTGGCAGCTCAGCCAGGGCACATGAGATGCCCACCCCAGGAGCCCCAGCAAGGGCTTAGCGTGGGCTCTGCAACTGCTTCATCACCCACACTTCATTTCAAACGCCAACGGTTCTGGAAGAATTATACAACGAACAGATACCCCCACGATTCCCCTACACGCACTAAAGAAATGTCAATGGCGTGCTGGAAAAGCAGTAAGTCCATTAGGGGCGACACGGGATCTCGTTCCTGCTCACTGGCCCTCTAACCACAGCACAATCTCCGTGATGGAAGTCAGACTCCAGGAGTGGTGGGGAATGAGAGCGAGAGGCAGGACGAGGCGGCGGCCTGAGCCAGACTCTCACCTCCCAGGCCCGCGGTCACCCTGCCTTTCACAGAGCTGGGGGGGGGGGGGGGGGGCGCCTCTGTCTGCTGATGGGCAGACTCTACCTATTTAATTCCCTCCTGTCAGTGAACTGCAGAAAAAAGGACAGAGCAAGAGACAACACTCGTCTCTCAAGACACAGGCACGAAGCCCGTTGAGATCCAGTTACCTTATGCAGGCGGAGGTACACATGAGCCGAAGAGAGTTTGTCCACGTGGAACCTACAGAGAATGAAAGCCACTTTTAGTGAGGGGTAGTAAAGACTACCACCGCCCGCCACCGGCACTCAAGCATCCGTCACATGCCTTCAGCAGGTCACCCCCCCCCGCCCCCGCCAAGCACTGGGAGTGATGCCACAACAGCCCCTCCATCAAGAGCATGGCATGGGACAAAGGACCAAGAGCAATGGTGGGGACAAGGGGAATGCTCTGGGCAGGGGACCCGTCTAGGGAGAAGTGGCTGGGGTGGGTGCAGGGACCAGGATCCCATGGGTCCCTGGAACAGGGGCAGAGAAGGGGACAGAGGAGTTTCCTGGACCGGGAGTGCCGAAACTGCAGATAGAACCCTCCCCGCAGGGTGCAAGGTGAGGGAGTGTCGGGGAGCACTTGGGTTTTTGGCAGAGCCGAGGACTGAGGGGGTCAGGGGCAGCCTGAAGGCAGTGGTGCTAGGGGGGTCAGCCGCCCTGGTCTCCTGGCGCGGAGGCAGATGCCCAGAGAGTCTGGGCCTGTTCGTAGCAACAAGAGCACTGCCCTCCTGCCCAGTCCCTGCCACGAGGCTCTGGTTCCTGCCACTGGGCCATAGGGCAGCCTCCTGCCCCATCCCACTGACATCTCTGTCCAGGACTGCCACCAGAATCTCACCACCAGGACAGACAGGCCAGCGGGTTGAGTCCCCTGTCCCCGCTGGCATCGGCCTTGGAGCTGACCCGCAGGAACCGTAGGAAGCCACCTGGGAGGCCCTAAGGACAGCTCTGTCGCCCCACACCCGCCCTCTCTAGCCACAACAGCACAAGACGCGGACCGGCCTTCCTGAAAAGGGTGACCACCTGCCCCGCACTGGCTCAATGGGGACAAAGGCCTTTGTGTCACCTATACAAGGTGACCCTCCGGGGGGCGCTAATTTCCACTTAAAGGAGGACCCAGAAGTTTGGGAGCCTCAAGCGTAGACGACGATTCTACATGAAGGCCTGGCTCCTGCTGTCTCTGGGCTTGACTGTGGGTCACTGTGGGAGTGTTGGGTTCAACCCTGGGCCTCCAGCGTGCAAAGCCTCGGTCCTGCCGAGCTCTCTGGTCCCCACGATGCCCAGTCAAACGCCCTCTTTCAAGGATGAACTTAGATACCGGTGCTCACGGGGTGAAGGAAGACCCAAAGGCTGCCTCAGAGAGCGGCACGGGCTGCATTGCACCCCATTGCGGCTCACTTTCGGCATGCCGGGCTGGGGGCGGCCAGCTCAGGATGGGGCTAGGAACTGCAGGCCAGGTAGAATTCGGTCTCAGAGACTCCATTTAATCTCCTGGGACACACGCAGGGTGTGGGCTGGGTCCCGGGACCCTGCTGCTGTGGAAGGAAGCCAGCCCAGAGGCTGCATTTGCTCGACAGTGTCCTGCCAAAGCCAGCAGGGCGCTCCGGTCTCCCAACAGGCCATAGAGTGACAGTGAATCATCCAGCTGGAGTGAGGGCTCACACCGAGATGCAGAGCACACCGGGGCGTCCACTGGACTGCAACCTCACCCTCGGGGGCACTGCCAGGGTCCCCTGTAGCGGCCGAGTCTCAGAGCGGGAACAACATATCACTGAAAGCAGAACCAAACTGTGACTTACCAGACATCTTCGGGCCAGCCGTGCTTTATGAGGTCTTCATCTACGATGAGAGACAAGAGAAGAGAGCACAGTGAGCGGGGAGCGGGGCGGGGTGGTCTGTCCTGCCAGAGTGCCCCTCCTCCTCAGCCCCAAGACTGCAAATTATCAACATAGCGCTCACAGCCAGACGGTCTTAAGTCACACTTGTATCTTGAAATCTGGTATTTCTATTTGATAATATGCTGACAAACACGATCAGCTAAGAGGCTCTCTTAGAAAACTGATTCCTATAATATGTATGGTTAAGTGGTTTTGTAAAACTTCTTTTCAAAAAACCTTCTCGGGAGTGAAGCAATAGTACAGAGACTAAGGTGCTGGCGGCCAACCTGAGTTCAATCCCAGGAACCCCATGGGGTCCTCAAATCCCCCAAATCCCATATGGCCAGAAAGTCCCGAGTACAGATAGGTGTAGACCCTAAAAGGAACTCCAAGTAGGTATGTGCGGAGGGAGCTCTAGGTGGGGCAGGGGCGGAAGGGATGATGCTACGATTTGAATTTTTTTTTCCTTTTTTGGGTCACACCCAGCTATGCACAGGGGTTACTCCTGGGTCATGCACTCAGAAATTACTCCTGGCGGTGCTCAGGGGACCATATGGGATGCTGGGAGTCAAACCCAGGTCGGCCACGTGCAAGGCAAACACCCTACCTGGTGTGCTATTGCTCCAGCCCTACGATCTGAATTCTTAAGCGGCCTATTAGTTAGACAAAACTTCAAAAGATTCAACATTTTCTACTGCCATCACTGGGCTGATACTAGCTACACATGTCGGTAAGGCGATGCAGACTTTCCTGAACTCTTCTACAAAGGAATCTCTATAAAAGCTGAAGCAACAGAAGTCAGGGCCATAGCACAGTGGGGAGGGCGTTTGCCTTGCACATGGGCCACCTGGATTGGATCCCCAGCATCCCACAGGGTCCCCCGAACAGCACCAGGAGTGATTCCTGAGTGCAGAGTCAGGAGTGACCCCTGAGTATCGCCAGGTGTGACCCAAACAGAAACAAAGTGAAGCAATAGTTTGAAGTGAGTCTGGGAACACAAACTTGACACCAGGAGCGTCAGGTCCGATCACCTCAGAGGTGCCCACTGGTCCCTGCCTGCCGGTTGATAAGAGGGACAACGTGGAGAGCGGCTGGGAGCTGAGACTCCTTTGTGCCCCTGGAGTCCTGAGGTGGAAGCCGTCAGGCTCTTCCGCTGAGAAAGATGAAGCCTTCCGACACGGCAGGGCAGGCGTGCCACCCGGGATCCAGCCTGACTGTGCTGTGCCACGGGATGCTCAAACCCCTCCCCAAGAGCCTGTAGGTCCCAGCCAGGCTCAGGCCTGGCTGTGTCCATTCCAGAAACAGCTCCTCCATCTGGATGGGCCTGCTTCCCCTTCACAGCTGTGCACCCCCACCCCCAGCCACCCACACTCTGTTTTTACACACTCGCTTCCGGAGAACCGTTTCAGGTTCCGGGAAGCCGAGCGTGAGACTGACGCGCAGCACAAACGTCCTCTGCACAACCTCACAGATGCAGGCCTGGCACCTCCCAGACAAGCTCCCAGAGAGAGACGCTGAACTCGAGGCAGAGCGAGAATCAGGGGGAGGCACCGGGCAGGCGGCCACTCTCCCTAGAAATACAGAGGGCCAGAGAGAGAGGACAGGGATGAGGCTATCCCAGGCACGTGGCCAACCCCAACCCCACTGCAAGCACCACTATGTTCCCCTGAGCACTTCGAAGGGTCACTCCTGAGCACAGCCAACTAGGACCCCGTTCTCCTCCAAAGAAATAATACAAAGCGCAGCACCCAGAGTTGAACAGTGCAAAATCTGTACAACCACACAGAGCAGCTCTGCTGTGACTCTCACAGTACCCAGGCCCCAGGTACCCAGCTGGAAGAGAAGTGGTTTGATGAGGTCAATGGCCACACTGGCTGCAGACAACCCTGACTCTGGGACCTGTGCCTCCGTGCCTCCGCAACATTCCCTTGCGGAATGTTGCTGCCGTGCAAGGCAGGCCATGGTCCAAGCTGCCAGCACTCAGCATCAACAGCTGCAGAGCGCCTCCCTGTGAAGGCACACCCACAGGCCCCATCAGGCGCTCTGCAGGGCACACGCCTGGGGTCAGGGCCCTGGATGCTTCTACCAGCTTGCACTCTAGGACCCCGTTCTGGGACAGCCCTGCAGTCTGCTCTACGGAGGACAACGCACCATTCTCAGACCCTCACACGCACTCCAGCTGCCCGTCTGCATCTTCCCTCCAACCACACCCGTCTCACTCATGGCCAGGCCCACGGGGAAGAACGCTCCACTCTGGCTGAAGAGACAGGACAGCCGGGAAGGCATATGCCTTGCACACAGCCGCCCAGGGTTCGATCCTCGACATCCCATAGGGTCCCCCCAGCTCTGCCAGGAGTGACTCCTGAGCAGAGGCAGGAGTCAGCCCTGAGCACCACTGGGTGGTGCTCCTTGCCTCTCAGAAGTCTCTCTTCTTTTCAAGGACCAAACAGAATGCATACCCAAGCTGTTCCAGCGTCCCCTGGGCAATGTCGCCCGCTGGAAAACGCTGCCCTCAATGAAACGCAGCCAGTCTGTGTCAGTCACAGATCAGTTGATCCCACTTGGATACTCCTTGATCTCACTCAGATCAACCCCCGAAGGCCCTCACAGTGGGTCTGTCAGTTGCTGGCGGCCTAAAGCTTGTGTCTGACAAGCCACAGCGGGCAAGGCAGGGGGCCCAACAACGAAAATGTCAAAATCAAAAACAGCTTCAGAAACTTACTTTCGTATTTGTCCTTTCCCATGTAGATCGTGTAAGGAGATGAATTCACTGAAACAAAACAAAAATAAAACCAGTTAGAAAACTCCATCTCTGTAACTCTCGCTGTTGAGATGGGAAGGTGGCAGAGTGCGGCCCGCGGGCCAAACCTGCAGAGGTGGGAGTGTGTTTCCTTACCTTTTTTGGTTTTGTTTTGGGGCACACCCTGCAATGCTCAGGGGTCACTCCTGGCTCTGCACTCAGGAATCACTCCTGCTCAGGGGACCCTATCGGATGCTGCCTCAGGCTGTGTGCAAGGCAAGTGACTGCCCCGCTGTCCTATGGCTCTGGTCCGCCTTTCACATCTTTAAGGTCTGGGGGGAAAGGCGAAAAAACAAAGCAGCCGTGGCAAGGATGGAGCCTGTGCGTGGCTGGCGAAGCCTGACCTGATCACAGCTGGCCCACAGAGGCAGCTTCCGGCCCTGAGCTGTGACTCCTCCCTACTTGTTCCAGCCACCCCAGCTCTACCCTCTAACCTTCCTCCAGCAGGGGACCAGCAGGCTTGCTGGGGCCAGGACGAGTGCAGGAAGGAAGGTGTTCGCCTGCTGCAGACCCCAAGTGCAGCCCCAACCCCCCAATAAACATCATGCAAAAAATTAATTACCCCAGTACTTTGGTTATTATTACCCAACCATATGACTGATGAGCACAGGAGTTAATCATCGCTGCTACCTGACTCAGGGTAGCAACAGCCCAACTGAGAGGTACTGAGATCATTTACCCAATTACAGATAACTCTTGGGCCAGAAGCTCTTCAAGGGTATTAAAGTACAAGAGGAGTTGAAGAGCTGAGCACAGATGTCTCGTGGCTTCCTAAACCAGCCTTGACCTCGACACTGGAAACGGAGACCAGAATCCCATCACCAGAACACATGAAATGAATGAAAAGGGAATGGATGACAGAATTCGGGGCAAAAGGAAAGGTGGAAACTCTGAGATTTCCTTCCCATTTAAATTAGACCCTTTAGGCCCGAGGAACAGTACGGTGGATAGGGCGTTTGCTTTGCACTCGACCGACCTGAGTTCAACCCCTGACATTCCATATGGTCCCCCGAGTAGCACCAGGAGTAATTCCTGAGTGCAGAGCCAGGAGTAACCCCGGAGCATCACCGGGTGTAACCCAAGAAGCCAAAAATAATAAATAAATTAGACCCTCTATGGCCACTGTCAGCTGGCTGCCCGCAGGGAGTCTTTCCTAGGACTCTCTACGCCTCTCAGCTTTCTGTACCGTGTGAGGGTTTCTCCGCTTTCACTGGAGAAGTTCAGACATTTTTCTCCAGTAGCTTCACGACTTCAAAGATTTACAATTTGATTAGCGGCCACAATACTTTCCCACTAGGAAGCAGCTGGCAGTACAAGAGATGCCAAGGAGGAAACGGGGAAATGAGGATCCTTGGGCGCGTTAATCCCTTCTAATCGGTTCTAGTAAGGACATCTAGGTCTGGAGGGCTCCAGGTGGAATGCCACCAGAACTCTAAGGAAAGTCTGAGCACCGTCTTCCCAGCCCTGGCTGGGGCTGTATGGAGAGGAGAGTCTCTCTCATGGGTGGAAAAGCTACAAAGAGCAGAAAAGGCTGGCAGGACCTCTAGTGATTTCTCAGGCTGGTCCAGCCTTCCGTTTCCCTTGTCGTTAAATATGGGGGGGGGGGGTCACACAGGCAAATGCACGGAGCAGAGCAGATGTGTCAGCGTGCTGGGGCCTGCTCAGCTATCCTATCTCTCCCGAGCACGCAAAGGGAGGCTCGACAGCGCTGCCAACCCTCAGTTCACAATCACCAGCCTGAGCTGCGGGGATGGGGGGGGTGGGGGGACGGACAGTCCAGCCCTGGGCCCTCCATATGGTCCCCGGAGCACCACCAGAACTTCATTCCCGAGTGCAGAGTGAGGAGGAAGCCCTGGGCATCGCAAGGCTTCACCACCCCCCCAAAAAAAACAACCAAATCACCAGTCGAGGAGGCTGATGACCGCTGGCCGGGCCCCAGCGGGTGCCAGGTCCAGGGCGTAGACGGAAGAGGGGGCTCTGGCTGGGACACTCGGGAGTGGCCGCGAGCCCCTGCGGCAGACTGCCCACGAGGGAGGCCCGGGCTGAGGGGGACAGCCCGAGGGGGACAGCCACCGGCCACCGCCAGGAAAGGGGTCCTCCTGGGATGCGGCGGCAGCGATGCCCATCGCTCTGTGCACTCGCAGGGAGCGCGAGCCGCGGACCAGCCCTGGACAGTGGGGGGGGGGGGGGGAGGACAAACGCAAACACGCAAACACACACACACACACACACACACACACACACACACACACACACACACGGGAGCACAGACAGCTACAGGGCGGTCCCCGCACGCACTGACCAGAGGGTCACTCGGGGCCGCCGGGCGCCGGCCGCGCGGTCCGCGGGGCGGCAGGGGCGCCGGGGACGGCGGCGCCCACTCACCACAGTTGCTGGTGAAGTAGAACACCATGGCGAAGGCGACGGGGGCAGCGCGGGGCGGGTGCTGACCACTGGCGGAGCCCGGGAGACCTGAAACGCGGAGGCCGCCTGACCCCGGAACTAGTCGCGTACTTCCGGCGGAAGTCGGGCGCGTCATAAGACAGGGCCGCAGGCGCCATCTTTGATCCTGGCAGGAGGAGGCGGTTGGCGGGGCCGGGCGGTTGGCTGTCTGGGACTGGGGGTGCCGGGAACGGGGCTGTGGTGGTGGGGGCGTGGACCCTGAACCTAGGCTAGGTGGAGAGTTGTTGCGGGGCAATTCGCGCTTCTTAAAGCCAGACGCGGTTGTCGTTTTATTTTGCCACCATCCTCCACGTTCTAGCGACTCCTTGCTCCCCCTGCCGTGCTCCTGCCTCGCCTCCGTGCTCCCCCTGCTGTGCTCCCGGCTTGCCTCCTTGCAGCCCCAGCCATGCTCGTCTGCTGTGCTCCCGGCTTGCCTCCTTGCCCTCCCAGCCGTGCTCCTGCCTCGCCTCCTTGCTCCCCCTGCCGTGCTCCCATTTTGCCTCCGTGCTCCCCCTGCCATGCTCCTGCCTTACCTCTATGCTCCCCCTGCTGTGCTCCCTGCTTGCGTCCTTGCACATCCCACCCCCCCCCCCCCCCGCCCCCGTCATGCTCCCCCTGCTGTGCTCCGGACTGGCAGCAGCCTTCACCTTTCAGATCAGGGATTTCCTGGCATTAGGAGTGGGCCTACATCCCGGCCTAGTCCCACTCTAGCTCTATGCCTTTGCTCCCACGTTCAATAGACAAACTTTACTAATTCAAAGGCTTCTTCACGGCTGAACAGAACTATTGAATTCCCGGTTCAGTGGAACTCTGCTAAGCGACTCTTGCAGGTTTGCCGGCAGAAAGCACCGAGAGAAGCACCAGTAGACCAGTTGTTACTGGTCTTACTGGTCTAGGCCAAACCCTTATGCTGCCTGGGGGCTTCGAGGTGTGGGGCCTCCTGGCCTGGGATGGAAGTATGCTGGGATGTACAAAACTGGGCAAACCTCAGATCTCTGAGCCTCAGACTTTGCTCTTGCTTCATTCTTCGAAGCTGGGCGTGTCACTTTATTTAGAACTAAACCTGTGCCAGAGTTAGGGTGTGCCACAAGGTTCCCCTTCCACACCCAGGTAGGAGCCTGAGGGGAAAAAGGAGGGGTGAGATTAGAAAGAGAAAGACCCCATCGAAACAGGAAATGCAGAATATGCTCTCAACCCCTTGCTCTCCCTCAAATTCTTTGTCCTCCTACTTTGCATGCTTTAAACCCAATGCAGTGTTCATCCACCCCCCTAGTATGGAAGCTGTAATCGCCAGCTCCCTGCATGGCCTGACCTCAGCCAAGAAATGCTGGGGAATGAGAAGTTCAAGGCCTCCTGAGTCCCTCTTGGGAACCATCCAACCCCAATCTACCAAAACTGTACCAGCCAGTGACAAAAATAACAATAGCTAACAGCCAAAGGATGCTTTAGCAACCCAAATCATGACTCTATCTCCCTTCTATAAAAGGAGAATAAATTGCATTAGTCTCTGTAATATGGAACTGATAACAAATATCTCCTAGACTCTGCTGAGGCCTAAAGAATTTTTTTCCTTTTTGGGTCACTTATGCACTAGGGTTACTCCTGGCTCATGCACTCAGGAACTACTACTACTGGGAATCGACCCCAGGTTGGCCACATGCAAGGCAAAAGCTCTACCCACTGTGCTGTCGCTCTTAATCACTTAATCACTTAACTTCCCGTTAGTCGTCGATTTGCTCGAGCGGGCGCCAGTAACGTCTCCATTTGTCCCTGTCGCGTGCTAGTGTAGCCCAATGGCATCTCTTCGCTCCGGGAACATGGAGGGCCTCAAACCGATCGTTCATGACCTTGTGCTATCGCTCTAACCCCAGAAATTTCTTTTTTTACAAAAACACAAAAAATGTATAATAATGCATGGCACATAACCAATATTTATGACCTAGTTTTTTTTTATGTGCCCTAAGAAGGAAACAGCTCTGGCCACCAACCCAGGCATCAAGCTAGGATGAACAAACAACAGCTTTGCCCCTGACAGATATAGGAGCACCACCGGTCAAATGTCTTTTTGCCCATCGCCAGAGTTTACTATTTTTTTTCTATGTAATTGAAAAATACAGAATGAAGTAGAAGCTCAAAATATGGCTAGCAAGTAAAAAAAAAAAGCTTTAAGGAAATAAAAATTGCTGTGAGAATCTTGGCGAAGGTTCTTTAGAAAAACTCAAAACTCGTTTGTCCAGGAACCCTAACCAGTAATCCCGGATCGGCCTTGGACTTCTGCCCCGAACTACAGTTCCCAGCATGCCCTCCCAGAGGCCTTGCGGGGGGCGTGGCTTCTCCGGGGCCGATTTGGGGTTTCAAGGGCGGGAGAATCCCCGGAACGGAACTTCCGGAGGGGCGGGGCAAGTGCCCGCGGGTAGCCAATCAGTGAACGGAGAACTGGGAGCCCGGCACATCGGCCAATCCCGTCGCAGCGGCCCCGGCCTCAGCCGGCGCGGGACAATTTGAACGCCGCGCCGGAGCGCCTGGCCGGCTGAGGCGCGCTCGCGGGTTTGGAGACGCTGCGGGGAAGCCCGGGACTCGCGGGAGCGTGGAGGTAACTTTCCCGGAGAAAGCGCTTCCGCGCTGGGCCTGGCGGGCGGGCCCTCGGCCCCGGCGGGTCTGGGGGCGTCCGTCTCAGACCGCACGGCGTTTTCTCGTCGTCGGGGACCGGGCGCTGGGCTCTGCAGCCCTTCAGGCGGCCGGGGAAGGTCCTGCCACCCGCGCCCGCCCGGGAGTTGGCGGGACAGGCTGAGGTGCAGCGGGCTCGGGCGGCGGCCCGGGACCCTCGAGACCGTGCGCTGAGGGTTCATCGCTGAGGGGTTCCTCTGACGCGCCCTGAGTTCCCCCTGCGGCAACCCGGTTTCCCCCTGACGTGCCCCAGGGTCCCCCTGTGGCAACCCGGTTTCCCCCTGACGCGCTCCGGGGACCCCCGATGCAACCCGAGGTCCTCCTCCGGCAACCCGGCGTCCCCTTGACGCGTCCCGGGGTCCCTCGGGTGCAACTCGAGGTCCCCCTGACGCGCCCCGGCTCCCTCCTGACGCGCCTTGGCGTCCTCCTGCTAACCGAGCAGGACCGGGTGTTCGGTTCTCTGAGGAGGAACCGTTCGCGGGTCGAAGCCTAAGCCCGCCCCAGCTCTCCGGTGAGCTTCGGGTTTGTTTGGTTTTTTTTGCATCACACCCGACTGCGCTCAGGGGTCACTCCTGGTGGGGGGGCGGGGGGGGGGGTTCTCCGGACCTTATGGGGATGCCCGGGATCATTTTTCAGGCTTTTTTAAAAGTGATTTTTTTTCTGTGTTGGTGGTGGTGGTGCCATATATATATTTTTTATATACCCATTCACTGTTGCTGTCCTGTCTTGCAGGAATTCAGTTAAGAAGATGTCAGCGTTTACTCCAAGGAAAAGGAAGACTCGGAGTTGTGATGAGTGAGTGCCCTTCCCCAGAAAGAAAAAAAACCACCTGAAAACACAGTAGGGCTGGTAGGGCGCTTGCCTTGCATGCTCCGAGCACGTGCATCCCAGCGGGTCCTCCAAGCCCGCCATGAGTAAACCTTAAGCACCACTGGCGTCACCCCCAAAACAAAACAGAAAATAAAAAGCCGCCTTCTGGGGGCTGGAGCCGGGAAGGCGTTTGCCTTGCACGCTGCCAAAGCCCAGCAGAGCCACCAGTAACCTCTGAGCACGGCCAGGTGTGGCCCCAAAAGCAAACCAAAAACACCTGCTCTATTTTATCTCTCCAGTCTCTGAGAGCTTCCATTCTTCTATCTGCACACTCCTTGTGGCTATGGTAATATTTTATATTCTCATTCTGGTCTGGGAAACATGGAAGACTTTCGGGGCACTCAGAGAGAGCTCACTGTTCTCCATGAGTTTAATGTTTGTCAGTTCTGTGACCTAGCTCCTTCTCTCACTTGTGGATATTTAAGCAGTTGACATGTTTGCATGAGCCGCTGATCCTCTGAGCAGTCCTGTGGTCTGTAGTACTATATGTCCTATATGAGAAGGAAGGAAGCAGCCCCATGAGGACTTGTTCCCAAATAACAAAGTACAGGGCTGTTCTTAGTATGTGACTTAGAGTTCTTTAAACAGACACGTCACGATGTGTATCTCCTCATAAACTTTGGGGGGCCTTTTAGAAATTATCTGAGTGCTTCCTTTAGTAAAGACAAAATTTGAAAATTCTGTTATAGCAAATAGATATTATGGGTAGATGGCTGTTTGGTCGAGAGGAATTATTGTTTTGAATATGAGGGAGAGGTAGAGTTACTTGTAGCAGTAGGTTGACAGAAAAATTGAATGAAAACAATGATACCTAAATACGGACTTTGTTTCCTTTCCTAGCCTATTGGATAATCAATCAAAGACATTAGCTTTGGACCCAACTGAAAGCTTATTTCCATCATCTAACAAAAAGAACATTTGCCAGAGCAGTGAGAAAAATGAAGAAGACGTGCATTGCTCGCAACAAGGTTATTTCATTTCAAGCCCACTCAAGACAGTGAAAGAAAACGGACAATTGTCCTCTGCCGGTCAGATATCACCATTTAAGTCAGCTGTGTCGTCCGGATCCTTTTACAACAAAGATAAGTGGTACCTCAACCCACTAGAGAGAAAGCTGTTGAGAGAGTTTGTAACGTCTCTAAATAAGAAAGATGAATCTTTACCCAATTTGACAGAAAAAGTACAGAGAAAAGCAGCCTGCTCCAAGAAAAGGAACAAAAAAACACAGAAGAGTTTAACTGCTAAATATCAACCACATTATAAATGCATGAAGCCTGTATCAAAGAACTCAAAAAATCCCAAGCCAAATCGAGTGGCCTATAAGCGGCTGGTGGAGGAAGAAAATTGTTACTCAGTTGGAAGCAGTCTGAGTGCTCCTCCTCGAGTTCTAAGTCAAAAGGTCAAGCCACAAGTCACACTCCAGGGTGGGGCTGCATTTTTTGTTAAAAGAAAAAAATCCTCCCATAGCAATTTGCCCTTGGAAAATAAAACCGAACTTACCCCAAATAAGTCAAAAATGATTGGAGATTCTGATGTAAGGACTGTCAGTGAGAGAAAATTTGGGTGCTTGAAGGAACTGAACATGGAGCTGCTGGATGCAAAAAATGAAAATAAAGAGACAGTAATAAAGGTAACAAGTGGGCTACGTAACGAAATGTCGCTTTTTTTTTCTCCCCCGATGCTCGGGTTACTCCTGGCTCTGCACTCAGGAATTACCCCTGGTGGTACTCAGGGGACCATATGGGGTGCTGGGTCTGCTGCATGCAGGGCAAATGCCCTACCCTCTGTGCTATCACTCCAGTCCCGTCTCTTTTTTTTTTTTTTATTTTTGGCCACACCTACAGGCTCTCAGGGCTTACTCTTGGCAGTGCTCAGGGACCATACTTGGTACCTGGGATTTAACCTAGGTCAGCTGCCTGCAGGGAAAGCACCCTATTTGCTGTACTGTCATCCGGGTCCCCAAATTTCAACTTTACTTAATTAACATAGTTGAACAAAATTATTTTCTTTACAGTCTGGAGGACTACTTGTGGGAAGATGGAGATTCTTGCCCATTTTGGGCTTAAGGAAGCCTACCAACATTTTTTTGTCATTAAGGAAGATAGTTCTTGAAAGGGAGATAGTACAGCAGGTAGAACTCTTGCCTTGCTTGTAGTCAACCTAGGTTTAATCCCTGCCATGCCAGGGTGGTCCCCTGAGCATCGCTGGGTGTGGCATTACAAAAGAGAAAGGAAGCTAGTTCTCTAAATTCCCCAGGACTAAAGTTCAGGGAAGTTCAATAATTTTTATATGGTAGTGTTTTTAGAGGGCTGGAGCGGTAGCACAGCGGGTAGGGCGTTTGCCTTGCACGCAGCCAACATGGCCGACCCAAGTTCGGTTCCTCCGCCCCTCTCAGAGAGCCCGGCAAGCTACTGAGAGTATCTCACCCGCAGGGCAGAGCCTGGCAAGCTCCCCGTGACGTATTCGATATGCCAAACACAGTAAGAACAAAGTCTCCAATGGAGACGTTACTGGGCCCGCTTGAGCAAATCGATGAACAACGGGAGGACCGTGACCGTGAGTGTTTTTAGAAAGTTTAAAAAAAAAAAAGTAGAAGTCAAGGAGTAGGTTTTCAGGATGTGAGTGTATGGGTTTTTATTTCAAGACATTATGTGAAATACTAGTTTTTTTGTGCAAAACTGAGAGAATTCAGTGTATAAAATCATCCCCCTACTTGCAGGTGAGTGCTATCAAGCATATTGTTGAGTTTTGGTTTTTCATATATAGTATGTTTTCATGGGAGTTAGCTCAAAGGACTGAAGCACATCATTTGCATGTAGAAGGCCAACTTCAGTCCTTGGCTCCTGAGCACCATCAGGAGCGACCCCTAAGTTGCTAGATATGGCCTGCAAAACCAAATGACTAATGTCATGAGATGTGTTTCACAATAAGCCAAATATTTTGCTTTAGAGACAAATCTATTAGGATTTGTTCGCTAAATTAAAAACTTTTGTTTCACTATTGTGTTCAGGATTTTTCAGATGCAGTACCTTCAAAGGAATGTAAATCTGATGAAAAGTGTTTTTCTTCAGAAGATTCTGTCAGTAAGAATAAACCAGGTAAGAAAAAAAATACCCCAATGAGTTTATTTACTTGTAATAATAGTTCATTATGCTTGTCAGTGGGAAATCCTATGCAGTAGTATTTGGAGCCGGAGTTCCAACATTGTGTGCCTCTTAGTCTGTCCCTGCAGTGCATTTATTTACAGATCTAGTGAAGTAAGATAGATTTTACTGAACAAAGCTTGCTTATTACCATGGAGAAGGAAAGGAAATACGTGTTTAAGAGAACATGAGCAGCTAGAACGATAGTACCACAGGCAGCATGCTTGCCTTGAACACAGAGCCTGGAGTCAGCCCTTGTTATTAACCTTTAAAAGCTGTGACCTGGGCAGGAGGGAGTGCACACAAAAGCCGAACTGCATGCTTTGCATGTAGGAGGCCCCAGTATGATCCCAATCACCAAGCCAGGACACAGCCAGGTGTGGCTCTAAACAAAACAGAAAATAATTGAAAGAGAATTTTAGAAAACTCCTGTGACTTAAGAAGTTTTTCATTTATTTCACAATATAAATCATTGTTCCTGTTTCTCTCCCTAGTTTCTTCTGAGCCCACTGTCTACCCGATCTTCGGCATGTCCTCAACCCATCCAAAAAGGTAGGGTTGCTTTCGCTTTCATATTCGATTCACTTAAGGAGGGGTCCCCCATCTTTTTCTTGATATGCTATTTAATGTGTAGCACTTTTTTCCTTCCCCATAAGAGAATTGTGAGAATACAAGGTGAAATCAGACACTCTCAGAGAAACTTCTTAAGAATTTGAGAAAAGAGAAGGATCCTCCCAAGCTCAAGTCATAGTACTTGGCCCAAAATAAGAATTAGATATAAGTTGAATTCCAATTATTCAATGGCTGATTGAATCCATTATACCCATTACATCACTTAATCATTGTAACAACCTAGAAGGTAGATACTATTATTAAACTCTTTTCCAGGCTGGAGAGTTAGTGGATAGATAGGGTGCTTGCCTTGCTTGTGGCTGACATGGGTTTGATTCCCAGCAAGGTTTACGGACCCAAAACCCTGCCTGAAGTGATCCTTGAGCTGGGTGTGGCCCCAAAACAACCAAAGACAGAGCCCTCCATTTTCTGCTGAGGTAGCTATACTTAAGACAACTAGACTCTTGTTTGAATGTAAATGCCTTAGGCTACTTTGCCCTCCCCGCTTGATAGTCATTGTTTGCATCCTCAAGCATGCAAATTTGTTAGCTCTGTTCTGGTGTGTGCAGGTGAAAGTTGACTCTTAATCTGCTGGTGGCTGAAGTCCTGTGTATCTGTAAGATTCATGATTAGAATCCACCTATTTGCTGCAATATAACACATGCTAAATTTGATAAAGCCAAAAAATTCATTTAATATCGATCCCAATTCATGAAGACATCCTGAATGTACACATTCAATATGGATAAGATCCTTGGACTCAGTCAGGAGATAGGATTTGTCTCACTTCTGCTTTTCTGTGCTAGACCTTGTCCCGTGAGTAAATCACTGGCCCTCTGCTTTCTCCTTGTTCTTATCCCTCTTCATCAAGTTGGATTGTTTTGGGGGTTAGACCCAGCTGTGCTCAGGAGTTATTCCTGTCTTTGCTCAGGAGTGATCTGGCAATGTTCTGGGGACCACATGGGGTGTCAGGGATGAAACAAGGGTCAGCTGCATTGCAAGAAAAATAAATGCCTTCCCTCCTCCACTCTTTTCAGCCCATTAAATTATCTTTCTAAAAAGCATTAAGAATTGACATGTGTTCTGTAAATGTTATATGTTCTCGTAATTCCTCATACTTATATTTGTTCACTTTCTATTTCAAGACCAATAGTTGAAGAACAATCTGTGGGATCCATATCTACTAACATCTTGAAACAGATCAGTACCCAGAAAAGTACTAATAACAAAGATACGAATAAAGAAGTGAAGGACCAGCTCATAATTGTGAGTTACCTTAAAACAAAGCTCTTCTACCTGTGACTCACCTATAGACAAGAAGTCACACTATTGTCTTAGCATGGTTACATGGGTTCAGGATACCTGATTGTTTAAATGCTGGTTTTGTTGTAATGGTAGCACTTTTTTTTCTTTCTTTTTTGGGTCGCACGCAGCCAGTGCTCAGGGGACCATATGGGATGCCAGGGATCTACCCCAGGTCGGCCACATGCAAGAAAAGTGCCTTACCCACTGTACTATCACTCCGGCACCAGTGGCAGTATTTTAAATCCCTCAAATAGACAGTGAACTGACAATTTTCACAGTACTAGTAGGTAGGATACTGATAATGGCTTGTGTGTGTGTCCTGCAAGGCTATAATTGAATGCGTTCCTGAAAATGCTCACCTTCCCATGTATTTGACTATTCAAGGCCTGGTCTGTTCAGAGCAATAACTTATGAGATAAAATAGGAGTTAGTAGCCATATCGTTGAATATTCTTGGCTCTCTGTACTTATGAACATATCTGTGCTTTGGCTGAAACTTGGATTCAATATTACATGTTTTAATTATGCCTTGGGGGCAGAGAGGTTTACTATTCCTAACCACTTTTGGAAAAAAAATACAATACAATGAGTTTACTATGGTGACCAGATTTTTATTTAGTTTTTGCTTGTGCCATCACAGAAACAAGGGAAAAGTTCAAATTCAAAAGTGCTTATATAAGCTTAATGCACTCTCTGGAGTGTTCAGAAGGCTTTCTTTGTCCCCGCTACAGGACGCGGGCCAGAAACATTTTGGGACCACCGTGTGTAAGGCTTGTGGCATGATCTATACAGCGTCCAATCCCGAAGACGAGCTGCAGCATGCTCAGTACCACCACAGGTTCCTGGATGGAGTCAAGTTTACAGTGAGTCAAAGATGATCTTCCGGCCTGGGGAATGGCTCGGGAGCCAGGGAAGTATGTGCTTTGCATGTGCTGAGACCCAAATTCGAACCCACTGCTACATGTGGCCCCCCAAAATAAATAAGGCAAAAAAGCTGTGTCAAATTTATAGTTATATAAATACTTTCTGTATTTTTATAACTAAAATGTCACACCTAGCTGTGCTCAGAGCTTATTCCTGGTTCTGTACTCAGGACTCATTCCTGGCAGGAGCTTGGGGACCCTATGGGGTGCCAGGGATGAAACCCAGATTAGCTGTACCCCCCCTGTTGTCCTTTCTCTTCGACAGCATAGTACTGGTATGGGAAACAAAAGATATGGAGCACAGTGTCCACTTGGCTCAGGTGACAGTACTCCTTCTCACAAGCCCCCTAACACCAGTGGGTGTGGTCCCTAAATAACCAAACAAAAATTTCCATTACTAAGTGTGGGGCAGATGGAGAGCCCTGCAAAGCAGAGCATATGCCTTGCATGCGGCTGTCCCTGTTCAATTCCCAGCACTGAACATGGTTTCCTGAGCACTGTCAGGTATAGCTTAAACCATACTTCCGCCAACAAAAGAGAAAAAGAATGAAAAGAAGCTCCGGCAAAACAGATTATGCCCCCAATCCCTGCCCCCTTGTCTTATGAGCAAACCAAACACAGTGGGAGCAGAATGGCCCCCGGGAAAGTTCTGGTTCCCTCTGTAGATTCCTCACAGCCCAGTGCAGGGGAAGAGTGGGTGAAGGTAACCATTGGGTGGGGGGTGGGGGAGGCACTCTGCTCTGAAAAGTCCTGGAGTCTCCTTTGAGGCAGTGGAAATGTACTGATGTGGTCTGAGCGGATCTGCTGCGAGAAGGCTAGTGTGTGTGTCTCCAGCCCAGTGGGCTGTGCTGAGGTGCCCCATCGTTCATTCGTCCTTGTCCCACGAAGGCCTTTCTCACTGCCTCCTCCTGCAAGGAGGCAGCCTTGTGACGGGGTGAGGGCTGCAACACCCTGTTCCCTTCCTACAGTCCTTCAACTGGATTTTCTCCCCGTGGCCTCATTGGTCAGCTGTGCAGTGGCTTTCATTTTTGCTCCTTTCAAGTGAAAAGCTGTGACTGTTTTTTCCTCTGGCAGGGCTGGAAGAAGGAACGCGTTGTGGCTGAGTTTTGGGACGGGAAGATAATTCTGGTGCTCCCACGTGACCCAAGTTATGCCCTTAGAAAGGTGAGTCATATTAGCTCAGAGACCCTCCTCTGCTCCGAGTGCCCCACAGTTACCCACTGGGAACTTAGAGCAGTTTCAGAGCCTGGGGCTCAGCCACACACAGGTGTAGCACCCGACCCCACCACCAAAAAAAAAATTTTTCAAGTAGTTCATCCACAACTAGAGGGCCCGACCGGAGCACGGGCTGACCCTGAAAGAAAGCAGGCAAGGCTCTGTAGCTGGCTTATTTTCATCTTCCAGCTCGTGAAAGCTAAGTTAGTCATCTTTCCAGCTGGGAGATGGGTGACCCTGAGTTGTTTGGTTTTGATCAAGTGTGAAGAGGGATGGGTGATGACTTGGGGTTGGAGCACATGCTTTTGCACGCAGCCTTGGGGTTTATCTCTGGCACCACTGGCTGAGCCCCAAACACAGTTGCTGGTTTGCCCGGGGACAGTAGGGCAGCTCCATACCCAGTGGCTGTGCTTTCCCTGCTGCTGCTCAGACTGACTCTTCCCCACCCACTTTCTCTGTGAATCCCATCTGCTGTTGGACCACATCCGGCAGTGCTCAGGGCTCCCTTACTCCTGGCTCCGCACTCAAGAATCACTCCTGGCAGTGCTATGGGGACCATGTGGGATACCAGGGGTCAAACCTGGGTGGACCATGGCCACCCTACCTGCTGTACTATTGTTCCGGCCTTTGTTAAGTTTTTTAAAACAAGTTTACTACCTTTGTTTTTTGACCTTCACTAGGTAGAAGATGTTCAAGAACTTGTTGATAGTGAACTGGGCTTCCATCAAGTTGTTCCCAAACAACCAAACAAAACCAAAACCCTCCTCTACGTCTCGGATGAGAAGAAAGTGGTCGGGTGTTTGATCGCGGAGCCCATCACACAGGTCTGGTTTGGCTCGGGGTCTAATTAATTAGCAAGGAAAGGTTCCTGTAAGACTCCACTTACAGGACAGCGTCCAAGTAATGACACTGAAAGAATGGAGATTCAGGGCTATGGATTGGTGGGAGGAAAGGTGGGGGCAAGCTAAAAGGCAGCATAGGAGGGCTGTGGTCACGCTGTAGCCCTCAAGTTAGACTGTGGTTGTGTCATGGATCCTCATAGAGCTAGACTCTGCTTCTGGGGCTGGAACTACAGTCACAGGGAAGATGCTTGCAGGACACCAGGGTTCGCTCTGTCTTCCAATCCCCTTGTGAATGTTAAGTACCAAACACATTTCACTGTTGGAATGCAAGTAATTTTTAGTGTTACCAGATTTGGTTTTGCTAATTTTTTTTTCCCATGGGGAGGGGGCACATTCAGCTGTGCTCAAGGCTTACTCTTGGTGGGCTTGAGGGACCATATGGGGTGCTGCAGATAGAACCCAGGTTGACCACGTGCAAGGCAAGCATCCTACCTACTGTATTATTTGCTCTGGCCTCCAGGAATCATTTCTCCTATTTTTGGTTTTATCCCATACTGCTGGTGCTCTTACCATGCAGTGGTTTTTTAAAAAAATATGTGGGAACTCACCTCTTACTCCAGTGTAACTACTTCTGTGTGTCATTGCAGGCCTTCCGTGTCCTGTCTGAACCCACGAGCCCAGGCTCTCAAGACTGTCAGAGGGCTTGGCAGTGTTCTGATGTACCAGAACCGGCAGTCTGTGGCATAAGTAGAATTTGGGTCTTCAGACTGCAAAGAAGAAAGCGCATTGCAAGGCGGCTGGTAGATACTCTCAGGTAAGAAATGAAATAGAATAAAAATATTCTTAACACATACCAGTGCTCCTGGAACTCTCCAGGCTCATAATCCATAGAGAATAATTGTTCTCTATGTAGTTTTATATATATAAACAGATATAATTAATTCTATCAAAAGACTAAGGCCAAGGCAAATGTCGACAGTAAAAATGTCATTAGCAAGGAATGCTAGTCAGGAGATTTTTTTAATTAAGGATATTGAAGTTTCATAATTAGATTGCTTAAAATAAATTGTGCTAGTCACAAATGTGGCTGGCCTGGCAATAGAGCATTTGCTTCTCAAGTCGGAGACTGGGGTTCAATCCCTAGCACCGCCCCCCAAAAAATGGGGAGGTGCTGGAGAGCTGGCCACATGCTTTGATGCAGCAGGCCCGTCTGATCCCCATTAACTACAAGGTCCCTCAGCCCTGCCTGAGCAACTCCCAAGCACAGAGCCAGGAATAGCCCCTGAGCTATGTACGGTCCCAAAACAAAAGTAAAATAAGTTATGCTAAAGTCCAATCAGAATTTTAGGTTGGTTTCATGGTTCACTTGTCTTATCTCTTTTTCAGGAATTGTTTCACGTTCGGCTGTTTTCTCAGCACTAATGAAATAGCATTTTCTGACCCGACACAAGATGGGAAATTATTTGCAACCAAGTACTGCAACACCCCTAATTTCCTTGTGTATAATTTTAATAATTAAAGCAATTTCCACTGGTGGACTGGGGATGTGGCTCCAAGGCAGAACCCTTTGCTTACAAATGTGCAAAGTCCTGGGTTTAATCCCCAGCATTGCAAGGGGAAAAATAAGTCGATTTCCACTAGTAAACAAGTTACTGGACAGTTGAGCTCAAATACCCCCTTAGAGACATTGTATGCAAAAGTAGTGAGACAAATATAGCAGAAAGGGTGCTTGCCTTGCATGCAACCAACCCAGGTTTGACTGTTGGCACCACATACAATCTCAAATCCCACGAGGAGTGGTCTTGGAGGACAGAGCCAGGAGTAAGCCCTGAGCATTGCCAAGTGGCCCAAAAACTAGAAAGGAGCACATTCGCTACATGCAGGAGGCTAAGGTTCAATCACCGGCACTGCCCGTGATCCCCCAAACGCCAATGGTGTGGCTCCAAAACAATATGTATATGCCAGCGTACTTGCTTTTGTTTTGTTCCTTATTGTATTGAAAAATTGAGATGATGTTAAATTACTTGGGGTTTCAGAAGGTGGACAGATCTTGGATAATTGCATGCAAGACTACAGCCCTCTTACACTGTTAACTATGAAACTAGCTCTAACTGGAAAAAAAACTTGCTACTTATTTAAGGAGAGTGACAAAGTAAGGCAATATTCCATAGAAATATCATTTATCTTTTATATGCACACTTTGGATTAAGGTTATGTACAATCAGAAGCAAACAAAATTTTTACCCAGGTAAATATTTTCCATGCCCAGTTTTCCAAGAAAATTCATGGGGACTGGCAAGAACGCAACAGACAGGAGTGTAGTTGGCAAGCAGGAGGCCCGTATTCAGCCCTTGGCACTGTAAGGTCCCCTGAGCATTACCTGGTGTGGTCCTCTCAAGAGAAAGAAAAATGGTGGAGTCTATTGGTAAAAATTCTTACTTTATAGATAATTTGCAATAATTCAGCTTGGTTACATTTAGAAACTTGAATTTATAAAGGAGGGCAAGGAATGAGCTTAATGTTTAAATCTTTATTTAAAAAAAATAATCAAGCCTTCCTGTTCACCAGATTTAATTAAAATTCAACAAAATGTGCCAGGGAGATGACTCAAGGGCTGGAGCACATGCTTGGCATGCTGGAGGTCCCAGTTCCATCCCCAGCACCACACGGTCCCCTGAGAATCACTGGGCAAATAACAAAAATCTTGCTAATTCTGAAACATCTGGCAAAGTGCTGACGGCATGTATAGTCACAGAACTAAAGTTAGTAGACAAGTACATCTAGGCTGGTGGGGGTCAGAAGGAAATGACATTATGTAAATACACCCACAAGTGCACACATTTTTTTAGTGTGATTTAAGGTACCTTGAAAAAATTGTAAAAATTGTTAAGATTGTTTTGATTGGAGCCATTGAACTGCTTTCTGGGAAACAGTCCCTGGTTGAAACCATTAAGCCTAGTCATCTGCATTCTTTGATTTGCCTGTGATTTAATGTGGTCCTGTGTTTAAAAACTGGTTCCAAAAAGAATGTAGAAGTGTTAAAATGTAATTATGCAGACATTTTAATGCTATTTTCTGCACTGCTGATTTTAAATACCTTAAATGTTTTATTTAAGAAATATTTTATGTGTTCAATGCTTTTATGATGGATTAAAATTCTATGTTTATTTTCTTAGAGTTGAATGTTGCTTTGGGCCCTGGGGCTGGTTGAAGCCTTAAAGGGGGCTTCTCTTGGGGGTTTACATGGATGTGAGCTCCACTGGTGCTAGAAATCTGGGGAACTAGTCTTAGCAGGTGAGTTCAAACCTTTCATGAGATTGACCTGGTAGGAGTTTGGGATTTATAGCTGAAATCATGTCAGCCTCTCCTTCCTGCTTTTATGTGGAATTTTCCTCATTTCCCCTAATATGTAGGAGTTCAACTATTTTAAAATTTTTAGTTGCAATTATTCCACATACACATTTGGTAGCTGTCGTCTGTGGGAGGGTGTGGGTTCAGCATGTTCCTACCTTGCATCTTCAACCTGAACCTTGATTTTTTTTTGTCTGGGGGGATATGTGCTGGGCTACACCCAGTGGTACTCGTGGCCCTCCAGGGTTGCACCATGATCCTCAGACCGTTCAGTATCTCGGATGGAACTCAAGTTCAATCCCATGAAGACAAGTGCCTTACCCTGAAGGTCAGCTCTGGCCCTGGAGCACTTTGCTGTATACTGCTTTCTGGATTTGGGTTGATTGCCACGTGCCTAACACTCTGAGGCTGTGCATCTTCATTTGGTCGGGGGTCATTCAGCTGTGGTTGGGGTAAGCTGCAGAGCCTGGATCAAATCCAGGCCACCTGCACATGCACAACAAGCCCACTAACTGGTCCCTGGACCTGTGTTTCTAGTCATGACGGGGTTTGCCTTCCACATAGATGACTTGTATTTGACCTCTGGCACTACATATGATTCCTGAGCACAGAGCCATGAATAAGCCTGAGCATCCAACCCCTTCCCGCCGGCAAATTAAGTCTGGGCATCCCCATTCCATTCACAAGCACGATTCAGAACCACCCAGGTTGTGACAATGAGCACCACTGATGCAAACTGCCCTCATTTTATACATTACTACAAAGTCAGGGAAGAGAGAAACCTATGCATTTGCTCAAAATGTGTGACAGCTGTATCAAAGAGAATGTAAAGGAAAAATGTGTAAATACCTCCAATAACTATCCTTTATTCGGGGCCATCCTATTAGTTTCATTATTTTTACACTTTGGGCTGGAGTGATAGCACAGCAGTAGGGCATTTGCCTTGCACGCAGCCAATATGGCCAACCCGAGTTCGATTCCTCCGCCCCTCTCGGAGAGCCCGGCAAGCTACTGAGAGTATCTTGCCCTCACAGCAGAGCCTGGCAAGCTACCCGTGACGTATTCGATATGCCAAACACAGTAACAAGTGTCACAATGGAGACGTTACTGGGCCCACTCGTGCAAATCGATTTTTACATTTTATTATTTTATTGTGAAAGACTTAAGATACAGATTAGTATATTAAAAAGAAAAAGCCATTCTCAGTACAGAAAATAGATTTGAGCCATAGTCTTCGCTCCCCTTCTAGTGACCGTATTTAAGCAGGGCAGCTGAGAAGGTCCAGCAGAGGTTTATGTCTCAGGCTGATTTCAACAGCCATTAAAATACAGAATCTTCAAGATCATTAATAAATGACCAATCCAAATAAATGTCAGTTTATAACATAATTAGTTCTCAGTTTAGTGAAGAAGTTAAAATACTTGAGTACTATTTCTTAAACTTTACAGGAAACCCGCTACACCTGAAAGCTTTAAGCCTAACCAGAAAAACCTTGACATGAGAAGTAACTACTCAAACGTTAACGAGGTGCCAAGGTCCTAGAGCTACTGCACCTTGACACGCTCCAGCTGCTCATGCTGCTGGTGACAGGCGAGCCTCACAGCACATCTGTGTCCAGCACATCCACGATCTGGGCAGCAGAAGGCCGGTCCCGGGGCTCCTCATTTGTGCATACAGAGAAGAGTTCAATGACTTTCTGGTACGAGCCGTCGAGTTCATCCATATTGACCGGGGGTCGTGTTCCCAGAGCCGCGTAATAAGCTTCATCGTCAAAGTCGCTCTCGTTGAAGGTTGCGTCTGCTCAGGGAGGAATAGGACATGGAGGGTCTTCCCCAACACGGCCAGAGAGGCTGAAACGCCCACCCAGACCCACAACTCACACTCCAGGGCACGGCCTGCGAGTGTACACAGGGGTTCTCCAGAATTTTTTACAGAATCTGATAGTTAAGGGGACATGGATGGTCCTGGGGTATGCAGTCGCCACACAATCCCTTGAGAACTTGCTACAGGTAACTTTTTTACTCCTCTGGGTCTCCTCAGCCCCTGCCCGCCTCTGGCCCAATTTGCATTAGAGTGACCTGAGCTGGTGCCAACTGGTGCCAAGGCATCTATATGACTATCGGGTGCTACTAAACCTAATGACTTAGAAACACTTTTCGTGGGAAAATGAGCCGAACATAGGAATCGAGTGCCCACAAATGTCACGCCAGAGGGAGGCGGGTGTACCTTCATCATCGTCATCGCCGGGGAGGTTCACGTGTGGAATGGACAGGGTCATCATCTCCCACAGAGTGAGGCCAAAGGCAAAGATGTCCGCCTTGTCGGTGATGACGCCGTCCTCCTCCAGAGCCTCCTTGGGCTTCCATGGCTCGGTGCCAATGTAGCAGGCATTGGGGTCGGTCACTGGGACAAGTCAAACACAGGACAGGCGTCAGGGCAAGCTTACAAATGCCGGGCAAAGCCCAGCCACCCAGGAGCAAAGCCAGGTTAACGAGCACAGTGGCAAACAGGAACTTAGATGCAAAAAGCCAGGCTCTTGGCAAGGGGAGAGAGCCAGTGCCCTGCCCAGTGGCGGGAGGAGAAAGGACAGGGTGCTACTGAGTGGAAAGGCTTCTGCCAACACTGCGCCCTGGAGCAGGTGCTTCCCTGTGGCCTCCTTCCTCACTGGCCGCTGCCACCAGGCTGTTTCCAGGTTGGCATGTTTCCAGTCCAGGAAGAAGACAGGCTCCAGTCCGAGCCTGGACCCGCTCTCCCACTTCCTGTGTTCCAGGCCACACCAGCCAGAGCACTGAGGGGGACTCAGTCACTCTCTGGCCACTTCAGGAAGAATGCACAGATAACAGTGGGAAGTCGCTAATCCACAACGATCTTCTCTCTCCATTTACTTATTTCCTACTTAGGTGTTTTAGTAATGTTTAGTGCACAATAGAGAGTTCTGAGACTCTCAGGCCTCTTTAATATATTTGATTTTTTTCAATCTAAAGAATCATGATTTACAAAGTTATGGGTGCTCACACACATGGCTATGGTTCTCAGGGGTCTGTGTTCCTTTTGTTTGTTTGGGGGCCACACTCTCAGAGACCAGTTCCAGCAGGGTGGGAGTGGGGGGCATTGCCTGCACCACCACCCCATCTCTGCACTCCTTGGGCTATGGTGCTTGTGTATGTGCTCCCAGGGCTCTGGAGCTCAGGTGATGGCTGTGGTGTGCACACAGAGCCACTCCAGTGCTCACATTCATGCTTGCCAGAAGCCATACTTTCTGCCCATGTCACTCACAGGGGAGGGGGGCTGGGTGGAAGAGGGTCCACATCCCTTTGTGTGGTGCTAACACACCCGGCTTCAGTGTGGCTGGAAGTCACTTGCAGCACTGAGATCACAGCCAGCTGAGCTACCAGGATGATGCTCAGCGCATGAGGATGCCTGGGATTTGAACTCATGAGCGGATAAGACAGGTGCTCTCGGCCCCTTCACTGCTCCCCTGGGTCCCCCAGTCTCACGGCTTCCCAAGTTTCAACCTTGCAGCAGTCATTCAGCCCAAAGGTTACAGGATCACACAGTGGCAGCTCATCTTGACCTTTCCCTCCTTCTCCCCATAGACTTTCACTCAGCTACCAGTGAGGGTGTAGGTATGTCCCAGACTGCATCCACGACCCTCTCTTGACCTCACATACCCGGGGAACCATTTCAACCTGATTGACTTATACGGGCAAAGCAGAGACTCGCTCGGATACTGGCCCCGGCTCCCACCAAGACGACTCACAGCCAGAGAGAAAGAAGCCACGGCCCCTGCCCTCCCTCCTGCCACCTCCACTGCGCTATCACTTCCCCCATCTTCCCTCTGCTAAAGCTCAAACAAAGGCCTTGGGGGAGGCTTATCAAGACTTTTCTATTAAAAACACCCACAGCAGAAACAGTTCTGGTTATCTTCGGTTTAAATTTCCATTTTTAATTTTTTCAAAAGAACATTTTGTTTGTCCTAGTTGTTACTTGATTTGGGGGCCACACCCAGCTATACTCAGGGCTGACTCCTGGCTCTGCTCTCAGGGATCACTCCTGGTGGTGCACAGGGGATTCTGGGAATTGAACTCGGACCGGACACAGGCAAGGCAAGCACCCTCCCTGCTGCCCATCTCTTCGACCCTAAATTTACCGCTAACAACCAGGTTAGTTGTGTATGGGGACAGAAGGGGCAGGAGGCTGAGAGAGAGCTGGGAAGGAGGCAACCAATTACTGCTGCCCCAGTCACACCCTGTGAAGCTCGGGTCAATGTCATGCCAGGGAAGGAGCCCAGGGCCCACAGAGGCCAGGCCTATGTGCCACCATCTGGACCTGGATCATTTTCATTATACACCCCCTTTTTGGAGGGGTGATAATGGGGAGAGGGCATCCCCAGTGATGCTCAAGGGTTCCTCCTGGTTCTGCATTCAGGAATTACTCCTGGCAGGCTCGGGGGCCATATGGGATGCCGGGATCAAACCTGGGCCAGCTGTGTGCATGGCAAATGCTATATTCATTGCTCTGGCCCCTCATCATATAGTTTTTACAGGTTTCGCTTTTCTTTTTTAAAATGTGGACTTATTTTCTATTTAAGTATGTAAAAAAGAAAAGAAAAGAAAAAATCAGATCAAATTAAATAGGAGTGGTGGTGCTCCAGGACTATGTCCACTCCTGGTAGTGCTCCCGGGGCTATGCCCACTCCTGGCGGCACTCAGGAGTGACAACAGGGCACCATACATGTTGTCAGAAACAACCAGGGCTACAGCCACAGTCACAGCAAATGCCTTCCCTTCTGGACGATCTCTCTGGCTCGGAGAAATTTAGGATTGGGTAAACACAGTTAAAAAAAAAAAATATATAGAAGACAACTTACCTGTCATATTTTCATCTAACGGCAGAGAGACGCCAACGTCACAGATCTTAACGGTCTCAAAGTCACCTTTGATCACCACGTTGGACGACTTGATGTCTCCGTGGAGCAGCTTCTTCTCTTGGTGCAAATACTAAAACCATGAAAACATGACCCATCAGAGCAAAGGTGAAAAGCACACGGGAGCAGCTTTCCAACAAAATAACTCTGCAGGGGCTGGAGCAATAGCACAGCGGGTAGGGCATTTGCCTTGCATGCAGCCAATCCGGGCTCGATTCCCAGCATCCCCTAAGCATGATTCCCTGACTACCACCAGGAGTAATTCCTTAGTGCAGAGCCAGGAGTAACCCCTGTGCATCGCTGGGTGTGAGCCAAAAAGAAAAAAAAAAAACCCTCTGCAAAGCTCCTTCCTAGAACGCAAGCTCCTACCAGCTAGCTCCAGCTCTCCCTTGGACACGTGCCTCGCCGCCGCATCTGTTCCTAGGCTGTTCCCACTCTGGAAAAGCTGTTTCTCTCCCCAACGCATGCGTTCCCCTCTCACCCCTCACATCTTCCCACAGAAGTTAAAACCTTCTTGCGCCACCAAAAATTTTTTTCAGTAAGTTTATACCTGTCATTTCAAGGTTACTTGAATCTTGCGATGAGAAAATGACATATAACATAAGAGTCCTTATTTTTTTGTTATTTTGTTGACTTTTTGTTTGTTTCGGGGCCACATCTAGCAGTGCTCAGAGCTTACTCCTGGCTCTGAGCTGAGGGATCACTCCTGCCAGTGCAGATGGGGGACCGTACCGGTGCCAGGATTGAACCTAGGGTTGGCCATGTGCAAGGCCTTAAGCCCTGTACTATCTATCTCTCTGGCCCTCTATATTTCAACTTTTATTTGGGGGGATTTGGGGAACACACTTGGCAGTGCTCAGAGATCTCTCCTGGCTGTGCTTGGGGGACCATATGGGGTGCGGAATACGGGTCAGCCCGTGTGAAGCAAGCGCCCTCCCTGCTGTACCATTGCTCCAGCCCCTATCTGAGCTTTTAACATGCAACTCTGACATCTATAGCATCCTGCTTTGGAGTCACAGTTTTCTGGAATGATCATTACTTCCCTTCTTTTGGTTTTTGGGCCACACCTGGTGGTGCTCAGGGGGCCACGCGGTACAGGGGCTGACCCTGGGCTCCTACACGAGCCTTAGCCCTAGAGCCCTCCTGGCCCTTACCTCTTTCTGAATGTACTTTGTATTGAGATATCATAGTTTACAATTATAATAAAGTGGCTGTTTCACATTTGCTAAACACTATAACAATTCCCTCATCACTGTGTTCTAAGTCATTTAGGATACAGAACATTCCCTGGCCCCCATACCCAGCAGTGCTCAGGGCTTACTCCTGGCTCTACACTCGGGGATCACTCCTGGAGGGCTCGTGGTGCCAGGGATCGAACTCAGGTTGGCCACATGCAAGGCAAGTGCCCTACCCACTGTACTATCGCTCCGGGTCCTTGGATACAGAATTTATTTCTTAAATTGTGCCCATACTTCAACTCTGGTGTTTGTATTCAAAACAGAACACCTCACAGAGCAATCGTAAGAGGATTATCCGCACCATCAGGGGCTTGGCTATGCCACCTTGCCCAGGAATAACTGCAAAACGGATTAAATGCATTCATTCATCTTTGAAATAAAATTTAACTGTGATCTTAATAAGCAGAACGACCTGCCTTGAAATTTTTTTGGTTTTGTTGTTTTGGGTTTTGGGCCACACCTGGTGGTGCTCAGAGCTTACTCCTGGCTTGAGGCTCAGGGATCAGCCCTGGTGAGCACAGGGGACCAGAGCGAATGCCAGGGATCAAGCCAGGATCGTCCGCATGCAGGACAAGAGCCCTCCCCACTGTGCTATGGCTCGAGCCCCCGTCTTGGGGTTTTCAGGTGATGTGGAGGCTTCAGTCAATACGGTGGCGTCCCCAGTTAGTCTCCTGAGCTGAACTGCGCAGCGGGGAGTCCCCCACCCTGTGTGACAGGACAAGCCAGTGAGAGTGAACACCGTCATTACCTTTAAGCCTCTGGCCATGTTCACGGCCACCTTCAGGATGACGGCTGCTGGGAAAGGCGCTCGGCTGTCGCCGTACCGCTCCTCTATCAAGTCGTGCAGCGACTTCTCCCCTCCGAACTCCATGGCCAGGCACAGGCTCCCGTCGCTGGCCTTGGTGAATGCCCGGTAACCTAAGAGAACAGACATTTTCTCATGGGATGGGGACAGCAGTGGGGACTCGCCACTTCCATGAACGTGACCACCACGGAGTCCACGATCAAACAACCAAACCCCGATGGACAGCTGAACTCTGCAGAGCCAAGTCAGCGGGCCCAGGTGAGGACCTCTGCACGCAGCGGCAGCACAGACGGGAAGAGTCTTTAACCGTGTACCCGAAAAACCTGACCGTCGCCCTCCTGGCATTAGAAATGAAAATAAGATGCAGCCCAAGGGAGAATACCAAAGAGAAGGGGCGCTTGCCTTGCACGCAGCCAACCCATACGGTCTGGTCACACTGGCAGAGTGATTCCTTAATGCAGAAACAGGAGTAACCCTGAACGCCAGGTGTGACCCAAAAAAAAAAAAAAATCAAACAAAATAAAATAATGAAAAATGAAAATAAGGGATCGGTGCCAATGGAAGGGCACCTGAGTGGGCAGAAATGTACTTCCAGAGGCTGGACAGTGAAGATGAGGGGAGCTAGAACGTCCCCTCCTTGCCCCGCCACCCCGCCCTGGCCGACTAAGCATTGGGAGAAGGCAGAGAACTGCAAGGCCCCGAGCCCCTGGAAGCAGAGGGTGCTGGTGCCCCAGGGTCCCTGGGCAGGAGGATGGGCAGGGAGAGGGGGAGCATTTCCACGCCTGCGGGTGCTCCTTTGAGGATGAAGAGCCCAGAGCCAACAAGGTGGAGGCCAGGGCCAAGGAGGATGCGAGCCCATCAGAACTGGACAAAGAGTAACTGGAGAAACACATGTTGGAGGAGGAGAAAGAGACGAGAAAGCAGCACAGGGTGCACTATAGGAGGGGATAAGCAGTTCGGGAATGCAGATCATTCAGAAGCTGAACATTCTTAGAGCCAAGCCCTTCAGACGTACCCGGGCGACTTCCGGAAAGAGATGTCTCTCCCGCTCACTCTCGAGCTGCGGCCAGGGCAAGACAAGACAGAGGTGGCCAGCCAGCAGGAGTGGCAGTTACTTTGGGTACCAAACGGGGACTCCGAGTGCTTTCTGCTTGTCTGTTTAAAGATGGATTTGGGGGGCAGCCCTGATTTAAACTTACCTACAATGTTAGGGTGATGAAGGTCTTTCAAAATCTTGGCTTCGTCAATCAGTCTCTTTTGATACACATTTTCATAGTGACCATCACAATCGCACTGAGGTTTAATTTTCTTCACAGCCCAGGGAGAATGAGACAAACCCCTTGGAGATCTTTAAAAGCAGGAATAAAAATATACGGAGGAAGATGAATACCCATAATGCATGGCAAGTGGCCACCAAGGGCTGCTACATTTTGAAGGGGACTAAATAGTAAGTCATCATGTTCTCATTATGTACAATATCTTCAACGACTGACGTCTCCACCCCCTTTGCTTGGGGGTGATGGGACAGATGCAGGGACAGACCTTGAGAGCGCCAGCAGTGTTCCAGAAGATTCTAGGACTGGGCGTGAGGAGTCAGGCGGGTTCCGGGACACACTCCATTATGTGCGTGTCTGAACTTTCCTATTCCCCAGTACTTTCTGGTTCCCTGGGAGAAGGTGACTCTGAAATCTCCCTCACCTTTTCATCAGGTAGACGCTCACCCCAGTCCCAAAGCCGAGCTTCTGCATGAAAGGGGAAGCAGGGATGTCCACACAGGGATTCGAAGTTGGAGTGGAACTTACCCCTGAAGGCCAGAGAAAGAAGTGGAAGATTAGTACCTGAAGAGGATGCAAAGGCCTCTTATCAGTCCTAGGATACAATGGTGACGGCACAGGAAGCTGAGTCTTTTCCAAGAGTAATCTGACGGCGCAATGCAACGGAGCCCACATCAGCAACCCGCAGGACTGAGACCTTTCCAAAGGGCTATGAAAGGAGCAGATGCAGCAGTCTCTTTGGGGCCCACAGAGACAGTACAGCAGCTAAGGCTGGCCTGGCCCCCCACCAGTGCACTCCTCAGCACCCCATCGGGTCCCCTGAGCCCACTGGGAGTGATTACTGAGCACAAGGCCAGGTATGGCCCCAAAACAAAAAAAAATGGAAGTCTGCAGATGCCCGTGACCCCCAAGTGCTCAGAGACAGCACAGACAGGCAGCCCGCAAGTACGAAGGCCGTGCGTTGGGGCTCCAGCACCCCCAAAGGCCCAAATCTGCCTCACCAGGGGCACAGTTGGGTCAGACTAACAAGGTAACACCTGCTCCAGGACAGCCACCTCCCTCAGAGCACCGGGAAACGTGGAACAGCTCCCTTGCCGTGCTGTCTCAACTGGCAAAGCAGGGGTGCGCTGAGGGGAGAGGGAAGGAAACGCACCCCTTCGTGGCCCCAATGTCGCCCCCTTCCCCAACCCCCAGGGAGCAGCTGGAGAAAGCAGGAGCAGAGCCAAGAGACCAGGCTCAGCTGCTAAGCAGACAGCAGTGCGGGGCAAGGTCACAGGCACACCTCTGCTGGTCAAAACAGGAAGTTAGCGCGGCAAAGAGAGGAGAGAAATACAACCAAGACAAGGGGGAAATGCGACTGTCTTCATTTCTCTCCACCAGTATCCGAGGCAATCCCTAAATCACTCATGCACAAGAGGAACACAGGCAGAGAGCGGGGAAGGGAGAGTAATTCTCTAATGATCCAAAGACCACTCCGAACCAGGGAGAACCTTCAAATCTGCTAGAATTAGTCCCCGACTGTCAGGTGCGGTTTATTTAAGCTCAATATTATAATGCTGATATCCAAATTACTCCTAACAGACACTAGGGTTTTAACTACAACACAAAAACATTTTTAATTCTAATAACTGCACTGCACTGTCCTCCCGTTGTTCATCAATTTGCTGTAGTGGGCCCAGTAACGTCTCCATTGTGAGACTTGTTACTGTGTTTGGCATGTCGAATACATCACGGGTAGCTTACCAGGCTCTGCCTCCTGATATATATATATATTATTTATACACATATAGTATATGTAATATATATACTATATATATATAGTAGTTGAGAGAGTTATAATAATGATTTTTTTTTTGGCTCTTTGGGTCACACCCCGCAATGCACAGGGGTTACTCCTGGCTCATGCACTCAGGAATTACTCCTGACGGTGCTTGGGGGACCATATGGGATGCTGGGAATTGAACCCAGGTCAGCCACGTGCAAGGCAAATGCCCTACCCGCTGTGTTACCACTCCAGCCCCCGTGATCATGTTTTTAGGGTATAAAGTTACTGTGCTTCCACTTCCAGAGTGCCCAGCACCCCCCAACACTGTTCGTGTCACTTCCGTGCCCCACCCCCTCATCTCCGTTCTATTTAGTCTGTCTGTTTTCTTACCACATTTCTTTTTTTCAGAAACTTTGTTCGGTGTCTTGAAATTATTGATTTCTTCCATGGTAATATCACTCTAGATCCTATGATGAAAGCAAATGGAACGTTACACTGCCGTTATACAGAATACAACTAACTTACGGGGTGGGCAGGAGACCCTGTGACACTACCACTTTCTCAGAAACATAAAAGTTGAGGATGAAAAGCAAACGAAACTTGAGGATGAAAAGAACCCCAATGAAGAGTTGGCCCCATTTTCCTTACAGTGAGGAAATAGATGCCCGGAGAGGCACAGTGACCTAACCAGAGCCAACCAGGAGGAGAAAGAGCTGGCTGTGGGGACTTAGGGACCCAGGTGGAAATGAGCGAGGTGGGGGGCTGGAGAGATAGCACAGCAGGTAGGGCTTTTGCCTTGCACGTGGCTGACCTGGGTTCAATTCCCAGCATCCCATATGGTTCCCTGAGCACCGCCAGGAGTGATTCCTGAGGGCAGAGCCAGGAGTAATCCCTGTGCATCACCACCAGGTGTGACCCAAATAAAAAAAAAAAAATGAGCGAGGTGGCTAGTGAAAGGGAAGCAACAGATGTTTGAACTTCAGCACAGACACAGAGGTGAGAGCCTTGGGGCCTGGAAGGGAGATGAGAAGAACAAAGGAATGAAAGTGCAGGACAAAAGGTGGGTGCAGGAGAGGCAGCCAAGTCTGGGGTGCAGGGAAACCACTGCCAAATTAGTCCCATTCTTGCCTTTTCCTACTCTGGGGTACTTGGTACTCAGAAGTACACGCGGGTTCATGTGAAGAGGGACCAAAGGGGTCTGAGAGCTTGTACAAGGGTTGCTGCTTGGCAGGATGTTTGTCTTGCATGTGGCAAACCCGGGTCTGAGCCCCGGCATCCCATATAGTCCTCTGACTGCCAGGAGTGATTCCTGAGTGCAGAGCCAGGAGTAAGTCCTGAGCACTGTCAGGTGTGGCCCAAAAACCAAAAGGGGAAAGGGGGGGGAGGGTAGTTAGTTTCTCGCCCTGAGTACCAGGGTTCAATCCCTGGCACCACATACGGTCCCCCAAGCACCATCAGGAGTGATGCCTGAGCAGGGCCAGGAGACAGCCCTGAGCATCACAAAATGGAAAGCCCTCACCCCGATCCCCCCCAAATTAGTTGGTAACATTTAAGATGCTGTGAAAGTGAACAGATCCACGGTAGATGAAGGAGAAACCGTTGTCTATCCACTCACGGAAATACAAGGCAGCAATCAGAAATGATGTAATCTTGGCGTGGGAGAGGCAGAAGAGCCCTAAGCCAGGTTCCATCCCCGGCTCGGCTCCCCCACCCCCTTATGATCCCCTGAGCCCACCAGGAGTGAGCACAGAGCTGGAGCCAGGAGAAAGCTCAGAGCTCCGCTGGGTGTGGCCCCCAAACAAAACAAAACAAAAGATGAAATCTAGCCCTTGGCTGCAACTTGGATAGAACTGGAAGGAACGCCAAAAGCAGTGTCAGAAGGGAAATGACAAACCCCAAATACTGGTGGTGGCTCGCCCACCTAGGTGGAGCGTTTTTTTTTTTAAAAAAAATAATAAACAAAGCAAAGAATTAGCCAATCCCACTGCAGACCAGCCCTGAGAGCCGGCCAACAGAACGGAGAAGTGCGGCGGGGGCGGGTGGGGGGACCCCTGGGGAAAGGCGGGCGACTCGGATCAGAAACGCAACACAGCGTAAAAGCCCGCAACCGCGAACACCCAGGTTGGCGCGCGGCGGGTCCGGGTCCGAGCCCAGGCGACGCAGCGAGCCGGGTGCGGCCCGCCGAGTCCCAAGTCACACCCCAAACGGATCTGAAAACATGCACCGAAAAAGCAAAGAAAAAGTGCACGGCTAGCTTATGAAGCGGGCCGAGGAGAAAATGAGCAACGGGAGGGGGGGGGGGGGAAGCGAAATCGGACCGGGTGGGGGGAACCAGTCGTGCAGGAGGATTTGGGGGTGTCGGGGCGGCCTGTCCAGGCTCAGCCGGGGGGGGGGCTCTCCAAGGCGGCGGAAACGCCCCGCCTGCCCCCACGCGCCCCCCCCCCCCCCAAAGCCTGGGGATCTCGGCCCGGCTGCAGCGCAGGGCCCGAGCGCGCGGGACCCTGGGAAGGGGCTGTCCCCGGCCTCGGATCCGGGGCGGGAACCCCCGGGCTGGCGCCCCTGCCCCCCGCACCCCGAGACCGCTCACCGCGCTGCAGCCGCTGCCTCTGCCCGCTGCCCGGCGGCGCCGATTCAAACCCGCGCGCGCGCGTGGGCCCGCTACGGCGGCGCGCGAGGGACAGTCGCAGCTGCTTCGCGCTCCGCCTCCCGGGCCCGTGGGCGAGGCCCAGCCCTCTGCCCCGTCGGTCAGACCTTCCGAAAACACGGCTTTTTATTATTATTATTATTATTTTTTTTTGATTTGGGGGCCACACTCGGCGGTGCTCACGGGTCACTCCTGACGATTCCTGGGACTATATGGATTCCCCAGGGGGTAACCCCCACCCCCCCTCCCTCCGCCAGCGGGGTACAGGGTACAAATGCTATCTCTAGGGCCCCTAATTTTGCTCAGCAATTAAGCTCAGAGTTCAGGCTGTGTGTGTGCATGGTCTTCCTGCCTCCAGGGCTACAATTGCAGTGGTCACTAGCCGTACCCAGAAAGGTTAAGGCAGGGACCAGCTCTGGAGTTTAGCTCTGCAGGCTGGAGCTAGGGCCAGGGGAAGGGAAAGGGAGAGTGGGAAGGGAAGAAAACACACAGTCCAAAAGAGAATTTTGGACTGTGTACATGAGGTTTTATGCAAGTTGCTATAAAACCCCATTAACATTTTTAACTTTATTTTACGGGCCTAGAGCGATAGCACAGCGGATAGGGTGCTTGCTTTGCACGCGACTGGCATCACACGTGGCCTGGAAGCCTTGGGAGTGATCCCTGAGCTCAGAGCCAGGAGTAAGCCCTGAGCACTGCTGGGTGTGGCCCCAAAACCAACAACAAAAAATTATTTTATGTTTTGTTTTTATTGGGGGGAGGAGGCGGGGACCACTCCTGGTAGAGGCCAGGAGACTGTATGTCAAGAAGCAAATGCAGACTGGCAGCATACAAGGGCCCTACCCCCTATCCTATCTTTCCAGCCCTGAAACCTCAATGGGGGCGGGGTGTTTTTATTCTGTTTTGGGGCCACACCTAGCACTGCTTGAGACTCACTCCTGGTTCTGTGCTCAGCTATCATTCTGAGAATCAAACCCAGGTTGGCCACAAAGCAAAACAAACAATCCACCCTCTGTACTGTCACTCCAGCTCGTGAAATCTCCTTTCTGGATTTGGTTTGGTTTTGTTTTGGGGCCACACCCAGCAATGCTCAGAGCTTTCTCCTGGCTCTACACTCAGGAATTGCTTCTGGCTTGAGGGACCGTATGGCATTCAAGGGACAGAACTTGGGCGGCCACACGCAAGACAGGAACCCTACCCAGTAGACTATTGCCCTGGCCCCTGAAATTTCATTTTCCCAAGAAAACTAGCACATGGGGCCAGAGCGATAGTACAGCATGTAGGGCGTTTGCCTTGCATGCGGCTGACCTGGGTACAACTCCCGGCATCCCATATGGTCCCCCAAGCACTGCCAGGAGTGATTTCTGAATGCAGAGCCAGAAGTAACCTCTGAGCATCGCTGGGTGTGACCCAAAAAGCAAAATAATAATAATAATAATAATAATAATAATAATAAATTTTTAAAAAACTAACACAGAGAAGTTAAGTGGTAGCTTCAATCCACAGAGCTACCAACTGCTAGAGACAGAATTTGCGCTCCTCCTAGCTCAGTGCTCTGGAAAGCATGTGGGCAGGAATTCCCCCCCCACACACACACACACAGTGAGTGCCCAGCTCTCTGCACTCTGTCCCCCACCCACTCTGCTCGTCTCTGACGTAAACCTCACCCCCTTTTCATCTGTAGTATCTATGCTATTTAGCAAATCCGACATTTTCACAAGCCCTCTCTTCTTCTTGGCTCCTAGGGTCCTGCCAGAAGTCAGAGGCTCAGAGTTTTGAAAGGAGCCGTTGCTTGGAAAGAGAAAGGCGGGGGTGGGTATTGACACAGGTGTCTGGGCGGCCCTCAGGGAAAGCTTCAGCTCACAGCCATCCGGTCCCGGTCTTGTACCCATGAAAGTGCCTCCCGGGATTATTGGTAGAAGCATCTCGACTTCATAAGCTTATTATTCTTGCCTGTGAAATGCGCTCATTAATCTGGAAAGCTGGCAGTGCCGGCTGCTGTCACCGGAAACCGCTTCCAAATGGACGGGCTATTTCAGCTCATCCAGGCCCAGGGTTTTCAACCCAAACTGATGAGCTTACAGCCCTGGGTTTGGCGCCTGGGCCCAAAGAAGCACCTGCCTACTGGCCTTGGAAGGGTCAGAAGTCCAAGTCCTGCCTCCACTTTGTGTTTTCAAGAGCCGGTTTTGGACTGGTGGGATCCAAACTAGCAGTCGGTCTTATTTCTCCCCTTTTCTTTCACACCTGAACTCTGAGTGCTGAAACTGTCCTGAGACCAGGTGGCACTGCTGACCGGCTAGGAGAACGGCGGACCAGCAAGAGGAGAGAAAGAAAAATGGAAGTTTCCAAATTTTACCTTCTCCCCTCTGCATCTTTGATCAGTTCCTGTCTTGAAACAGGTTTTCTTACAAGCCAAAACTAAAGGCCAGAAATCTAATGGTTCTTGTTTTTATTTTTTGTGGGGTTTTCTTTGTGTGTGTGTGTGTGTGTGTGTGTGTGTGTGTGTGTGTGTGTTTCCAAGGCTCGAACCCAGGGCCTCCCACAGGCAACGCAAGTGCTCTGCAGATGACTTCTAGCCTCCTCCCGAAACCCCAAACTGTTGTTTCCACCAACAGAGCTGATGAGTTACAGATGCTGGAGAGCAAAGGTGAAAACAATAAGGCCCAAGACTGGTTAGAAGCAGATGAAAGGCCCCAGAGACTGATAGAGGGACCCGGTTCCATTACATGCTCATTGGAATACATGTACACGATTAGCCATGCCCACCTGAGTCGAGCTTTCCGACAATTACAGTGACCGTACCAGGTGGGGATTAAACAATTAGAATCCGGGTGGTGCTTGGACTCCGAGGAGTCACCACTCCCAAAACTTCTCCATGCTTTTTTTTTTTGGGGGGGGGGGGAGGAGGAGGTTGTTGTGCATTTTCCCCCGCACACACATTCCGGTCCTGACACTTCCTCCTGCATCTCCCCACCTCCCTCACTCCCCATCCCCCGCCTTAGGCTCTCATCTCTTACTTCCCACCACTGATAACCTAGCAGCCTCCAACTTTGTCCTTTCCGCCCGAGCAAAATAGTACAGTGGGTGGGTAAAGCACCTGCAATGCACGCAGGAAACCCTGGTTCGATCCCCAGCATCACAGACGGTTCCTTGATTCCTGACCCAGAGCCAAGAGTGGTCCCTGAGCAGCACTGAGTGTGGAAAAACAAACAGACAAACAAACAAAAACCCAACTTCATCCCAATGAAAACCTTTGTTGGTTGTGATCCACGTTTTCTGCCAAGGATGTAACTAGATAATTCTAGAAAGATCTCTCCAAATTTAGCAGTAGAGAAAACAAAAGACCCTGGGAGCACATGAGCACCTGAGGCTGCACCAAGGGCCGGAAATATCAGCCGTTCCCGACACCAGCTTCCAACAGGAGTGTGCGGGCGTGCTCTGCTTTGGAGCAGGTGGGCGGGGAAGCTGGTGGAGAAGCAGCGTCCCACATCACATCGGGGGACTCCCAAGAGCACCCACATGTGTCCTTATGGGACAAGGCGGAGAGTCAAGGGATGTGTTTCGAGGGGCGGGGTTCCTGCCCGGCAAGTGCAAGGCCCAACCCTGGGTCCCTGGCTCCTCAGGGACCCCTCATGCCCTGCACACCCCAAACCCTGGCGTGCAACAGAGCCCAGCCCGAGGAGAAGCCGGGAGAGATTTTTCCACAAGGCGCTGGCTCCCCTGTCCTGGCTCTTGCTCCATCCCATGAGGCACCCAAGGCCTCTTACTGCGTCTGACTCTCCACTTGGCCCTCCCCCCTGCCAGCTCCCAAGGAAACTGGTTAGGTTTCAATCCTGCCGGTGCACGGAGGCCCTCAGTGTCCATGCAGGAGGACAGAGGGAAGAGCCGGGAGAGCCCGCAGCTTAGTAGAACCTCTTTGGCTTTTCTGTTCATTTGGGGTTTTTTGTTTGTTTGCTTGCTTGTTTGCTTTTTGCTTTATGGGGTCACACCTGGCGATGCTCAGGGGTTACTCCTGGCTCTGCACTCAGGAATCGCTCCTGATGGTGCTCAGGGGACCATATGGGATGCTGGAAATCGAACTCAGATCAGCTGTGTGCAAGGCAAACACCCTACCCGCTGTGCTATCGCTCCAGCCTTGTTCATTTGTTTTTGACTCACACCTGCACTCAGGAATTACTCCTAGTGGCACTCGGAGGACCTTATGGGTTGCCGGGGATGGAACTCGTGTCGGCAAGTTACAGACAAGGTAAGCAGTGCCCTCCCGGCTGCACTACTATTCTAACCTTTTATTAGAACTTCTTTCCTCGAGGTTTCTCCTGCCCTTTGCTTCCCGACAAGGACTGAGAGACCATGTCCCTTCAGAGGGTTGCGACTTGCAGATGGGAAGGTTTTTGGGTGGAGCAAGAGCTGCCTCTCAGGAACTCTCAGAGCCGGCCGCCTGCCCGGGGCCCCCTCTTGATGCTGGGGGCTGGCACTGTGGTTTGGACTCAAAGCAGAAGCTGGGAGAGTTTGGCGCAGCTGGACAGCAGTCATCTTTAATCCCCTCAAGGAAGCTACGAGTTTCCTTCTTGCTGGTGACAGGCTGGTGGTCGGGAGAGGGGGCGTGGCACCCGGGAAATGCCTTGGCCAAAGGGTGGGGGCTGAATTGGCCTGTGACATATGAGGTCCTTCCTCGGCCCATGACCCAGCGGAGTGAAATGGGGCAGGGGCTTCTGAGGCATGCAGGAGAGCCAGACGCCCACTGAACCCCTTAACAAAGAGGAGTGTTCTGTCCTCCGCGATTGAGCAAGATGGGGGCTGGCCTGGACATCTGGCCCTGATTCGGCACCCTCCTGCTGTCCTGACCCCACGCTGTCCTCTGCTTTCTCACTCAGCTGGAAGACAATTGTTGAAAAATCATATTTAGGGGCTGGAGCGATAGGACAGTGGGTAAGGTGTTTGCCTTGCATGCGGCCAACCTGGGTTCG